AATATAAATGATAAGCATAGTAAATTTTATTACTGATTTAAATAATAAAATGCTATAGAGAAGATTTTATAGTAGTATCAAAGACACTCTATCATCCAGAAGATACAAGTGTTTATGAACAGTTGTCTACGTAAAATACTTCGTATTCGTTGGCCAGAAACCGTCAGCAACAACTTACTTTGGGAGAGAACAAACCAGATTCCAATGGAGGAGGAAATCAGGAAGAAGCGTTGCAAAGATAGGACACACACTACGAAAAGCACCTAACTGCATCACGAGACAAGCCCTCACTTAGAACCCTCAAGGCAAAAGGAAAAGAGGAAGGCCAAAGAATACATTACGCCGAGAAATAGAGAAAGATATGAGAGGACTGAACAAACATTGGACAGAACTGCAGACGGAAGCCAAGGACAGAGTTGGTTGGAGAAAACTGGTGAGCGGCCTATGCTCCACTGGGAATAACAGAAGTAAGTAAGTAAGTAAGTATCAAAGACACTAATGATGTTAGATTCTTCGGGTTGTCGACTCAGTTTTTTTTTACTGTCAACCTTACTAAGTCATAACCACATATGTGTTAGATTCATGTGATCAAAATAAAGCCCGCGAAGTTAACTAATATAAGCGTGATCAAAATGCACCGGTTTGGCGCTTGTGGAGTAGTTCTATTTCAATCTGTTACTGACTCTGTAGCCTGCAGTGATAGTTGAAGCTCTACAATAAAACTGATTAACTAAGAAACCGAAATAGGATTAAAACTTGGGATTATTTATCTGACTCAAGTATCAACGATAACCTGAATCAAAATATGTACCAAATATGAAATTAATAATAGTAAGTAATCTGTACAGTGAGTGATTCACTAACAGAGCAAAAAGTTGTATTATGTTTCGTACGACTATATATATATGAGCATATCGCCCAAAATGAATACCGAGTGTGAAAATCAATCAATAATCCGTTCACATCGATTTAAATGAGACATAAATAATGTTCTTCTACCTCTTGGGTAGAAGAACATTATTTATTATTAAGTCAGTATTTGGTAATTGATATTAAGACAGCATATATATATGTAGTGCGAGCTACTTATAAGTAGTATATGAAGTGAGTGTCAACGTAATGTCTGGCAGCAGAAGATGGGAGAAGATCAAGAAAGGAACAGTTAGAACACAATGGAATTTGTATGAAACGCATGAATAGTAGTGACAATGGATTGATGTTTTGCAACAGGAACAGTCCAGTTTGATATGATGAACTGATATTTTGCAAATTAACGATTTACGATATGGTTTTCCAATTTTACTGAGTAACTCTGTAATTTTCGTTAAATACAATTCGGTTGCCCCACCTGTGTTCTCTTTCACTACATATAGACTTTTTTACAATGTATAGATTTTTAGGAGTTATTTACACAATTTAGACGATGATTAATTACTACAACCTTTTAAAAATTTGAATGAGGAGAAATTTGTGAGATTTTTTATTCAATAGAACTTAGTAAGACAATTTAATTCTACAATTTTGTTAATTAATCTATAACAATCTTTATTTATAGTGAAGTGGTTTTGAAGAACATGGACGACTGCCTATAATAAGAAGAAAAAAACCCAGAATTTCTAAAACAAAAAAAAAGTCATACATACATACTTTTACATTCACATACACACATTGAGATTATAAATTAAAATATGCTTCAGTTAAAAACATTTATTTTATTACTACTAGTAGTATTTCTGTAACATGATTTGATCAATAATTTCAAATATTAAAAGGAATCTGTATGTGTAAATGTGTAGTAGAAATACGTCAGAAAAAAAAATTCGGATTTCGATAACTCTCCTCATATTTGCTTGCTTCATGACTCATGCTCTTACTTATTATGTATGACCAAAAAAAAATTGAATATGGCGCTTTAAAATTTAAACAAAAAAGAATTAAATTCAAACAAAAAAAGTCAATAAGCACAGTCAATAATAAGCGAAGTTAGAAAGAAAAAAAAATAGAAGAATAAGAAGAAGAAGCATGTTATTTTCAATATTCAATAAATTCAGAAAAACAAAAATTCAAGGTATCAATATCAAGTGGCGTAATTTAAAAACAAACAACAAAAAAAAGAATATTAAAATGAAGTAAAATTAATTTTAAAAAAATATCCGGAGGATAGATAATAAACAGAAGAGATACAAACCCAAAAAAAATACTAAGAGATGAATTATATTTGCAATAAATGTTGAAGATTAATAATTAACCCTTCAAAAAGGGATGATGATGTTCATCTTTTATTTAACTTGCTTCCTATTGTGTGTGGTTGCTCTGTATATGTGGTATACATATATTTGTTCATTTGTTTATATATATACTTAAGCAGGGATTTTCATGCAAACTCTACATTTACTGACATTATTCAACACTGGTCCTTCAGCTGCTTTCATTACAAAACCAACTGGTTTTTCAAATTGTGTTATATTTGGATTAAGTGCTCTTAAATAATACACTTTTGCATCGGACCAATAATGACACATGCCTACATTATTATTACATTCAATAACTGGTGAATAACGAAAATGTTCCATACAACTTCCAGGTGAAGATAATTGTTGACCTCCACCATGAGCACCGGAAGTATGCTAGAAGAAATAAAAGTGAAGAAAATGAAACAAGAGTTCAGTTGAACTATTTTCTAGAGTATATATTCAACAACTTTATTTCACATATTCATTGAACAAGACAATCACATCACTTCGGACAATAATACTGAACCTAAGACTATGGATAAAATAGGATAGGTTATTCATGTTTAGTTGGTTGGGTGGTTTATAGAGTTGACGATTTAAAGATACACATTTGAAATCATGAATCGATCATTGTTAGAACACCATTAGAAACCTGGAAGCACTGGACGGCTGTTTTAGTCCTGGTATGGGGCTCATTAGCAATGCGCAGCCACGACTACTGCACCCCGCGGGATTCGAACTCAGGACCTTTGGTCTTGCGCGCGAACGCCTAACCTCTAGACCACTGAGTCGGTACCTAACGGTGTTAATGTCTAACTTCAATCGATTCACGGAGTTGCGAAACCTCATACACTGTGTTTGGTAGTGAATGTCTACACCCGAACAGGTTGAACTTCACAGTGGTCACGACTTCCCACTAGGATTCGGAGAAGATTCTTCACGGAGCTAGTCACTAGTGCTCGTACTACAATTTAAAGAGGAAACATTAGATAAGTATCATATTCTATTTTAACCTTCCCTAGTGGTGAACCAATTTTTTCTCACTTTAGTGGTTTAGAGGTAAAGTTCTCATAATAATACTTAAAACTATTAGTAACTGTTCAAAATACATCCAACTACATTGATAAATGAGGCATACAATTGATGTTTGAACTTTCCCAATGATTTTATAACCCTTAACATTGAAAAGTATTTATTTCTTATGTAATTACGTTAATCGAAACTTTGATGGCTAGAAAATTGATAGTAGTTAGTAAAAGGTATTCAAAATAAAATCCTCTGCATTGCTGGCACACAAACTATCATTCATATAAGTTTTATTTTATACACGTATTGCTTAGTTTAAATGCTAATATGACTGAGAAGTATGCAGCTAGCCATTCTTCGTTCCACTAATTTCCCAACTTTTGATTAGCAATTTCAAGGCAACTAACTAGATTTCGAAACTGATCCTCTTATTACTCAATCATGTCTCATTTTTCAAGAGAAATTCTATTCTTCTATCTAGGACAAATAAATGGTCAAACTGTAATCAAGACAAAAAAAGCACATTTTCATCGTTATGTTTGCGCGTAAATCAGCTAAAAATAGCAGGAAACCTTCCATTCTAGATAATAGAGAAAACTTTCTAACTGCAATAATTCAAATAGTTATCTCTTTATCAAATTGAGAAATTACTTTGACTTGAAAAAAAAACAGTGACAACGGATTTTTTTATCGATTTCACTTACACTATCTTGCGATTTACAAAAATATATATCAAAAATAACTTACAAGTATTAAACTAACTCCTGTCCATAATTCAGTCCAAGTATTCGGACATGGTTGTAATGTTTCACCTTGACTGTGAAAAGCAAATACATGTGCTGGAGCTTCACAAACTACACATCTAGCAATTTGATCAGCTGTTTGATCTACTGGAATTGGTTGTTCAGATCGAGGTACCAATGTAGCTAACCAATAGGATCGTTCATGTCGCATGCTTGATTGACAAGTTGTATCTCTTTCACATTGAGTCATTGGTAATGAACTGAACTTGGACAAACACGAACTTGGTGTACCTAATATATAGATTTTTAAAAAGTCATATATATCGATCATCGAATACTATTATTCAATTAATTAAATATAAACTCTGTTTTTCATTTAAAGACCAGTTGTTAGGAGGAAAAGCTGAGGAATCTGATGTTCCGAAAAATGATTACAGAAAAATTCGAGCAAGGTGATATATAAATATATCAAATTACACAGTTAACTGGTAAAAAAGGAAAACCATATCGTAAATCGTTAATTTGCAAAACATCAATCCATTGTCTGACATTTCACTGTCCATGCGTTTCATACAAATTCCATTGTGTTCCCATTCTTCCTTTCTTGATCTTCCCCCATCTTCTGCTGCCAGACATTACGTTTTTACTCGCGTCATATACTACTTATAAGTAGCGCGCACCACATACTAAGTGAGATGCTATCGACGACTTATAACTCAGTTATTGAGCTTGTTATTAGTTTAATTGCTGTTTTTATTTACTAATAATTACACTACCCTAATGTATACATACATACTAACTCCGCCTGGAGCCCCTCTAGGGCTATTATCGGTCTCAGGCGTGGACTAAGGAGGAGGAGGCTTGGGCATATGAGTGGATACATCGTCCCGTAGAAAACTAGCTCGCTAAAAAAACGCTAACCACAAAAAATCGATTCAAGTAAGTATTGTACACATAATATGACATAAAGTGAATATTTCCAAAAATAATCATTAATGCTCTCAAAGACTATAAGTAAGCGTTAACCGTGAAACTAACAATTACTGCTAGATGGATTCATTTTTGAGAGTATATGTAACACACACTAATAAATTGTTCAAGAGTTTGACAAAGAAACAATTATTCAGAATATTATAGGATATAATATATCTACGTAGTTTGAATTACTTTACCTAAATCCATGCTAACCAAATCATCTACACCACCTCCCATAACATAGCTGTAACCAGTGAAAAGTTTGTTCGTTCCAGTTGGACATGTAAGGTTTTCGACAAATGGTGTTTGATAATGACGAGCGAATAGTATGGAAGAATAATTCGTTTGACCTGGTTGTCCTTTCTCACCATCTTTGCCTTTGGGGCCAACATCACCAATTGGTCCAGGAGGCCCAACTTCTCCAATATCCCCACGCTCTCCCTGGTCACCTAATTCACCTCGTTCACCTTCTAAAAGCCCAGGTTGACCTTTTTCTCCTTTCTCGCCAATATCTCCATCATCTCCTACTTCCCCATCAAGACCCGGGTCTCCTTGTTCTCCAGGAGCTCCATTATCACCAGGATCACCTACTTCACCAAGTCCTCCCCTTATCGCAGTTCCTTTAACTCCCTTTTGTCCTTCAATACCGGCTTCACCCATTTCTCCTTGATCACCGCTTTGTCCACGATTTCCAGACGGACCCTGATCTCCAATAAACCCTTTCGGTCCAGAAATACCATCAGTGCCATCTACTCCTGCTGAACCCTGTTGACCTTGTATTCCTTTTTCTCCATCGTAACCAGGAGGACCTTGAGCACCTTCTACTCCTGGGTCCCCAACATCTCCTGGTATTCCTCTTTCTCCTTTCATTCCTTGCTCACCAGTAAGCGCAGCCAAACCTGAGGGGCCTTCAGGACCTTGATCGCCAGGTTCTCCTGGAAGGCAATGAGAATAATGACATTTTAATAATATTACCAACAAATAATTAATTCCATTAGAATAATATTGACATCTGACATTAAGAAAATGCCAGAACATTTACCCTTGTCTTTTGTTTATTTGTTAAACTAGTTTTTTATTTTGATAAAATCAAATGAATTGATTACCACGTATAAAACATGCTTCCTTTGTATCATAACACCTACTCTATGTTAAAAGCCAAACATGTTAAATGACTGAGTATTTTAACCAAATTCATAAAAGATTCAATAGATTACTGTGTTTATAGTTATCCTGTAAGGACCTATGAAAGTATCACACTTGATTCAGGTACTTACTATAGAAATTATTTCCTTATACATCCATGCATACTATTTGGCACATATATAAGTATATAAACATTAAAAGTAGATCCTAAATACCTGCTTCTCCAGGTAGACCAATATGTCCGGTGTCACCCGGTTCTCCTGGTGCTCCAATTACTCCAACCCCTGGTGGCCCATCTTTACCACGTAGTCCAGGTAATCCTTTTAGAAAGATTAAAAAAAACAGTTTAAAATGATCCTGCTAAAATTAATTCAACTCAAAAGAATACCAAAAATTTCTCGAGTACTCGATGATCATTATCATTCATATTAAAAGGTATATACTTGAAGATACTGAATTACTTGCTGTATGTTTAGCACTCTAACTGTTACTATGGGACGAATTACCTTGGCTGTACTTTAATATCGTACGTAATCTTTGGGTACCCATTAACTTGCAAGTCTTTGATTAGGATAGGAGGAGATTAAGTTCGTGATTTACTCTTTTTTTCTTATTTAGTAGGTGATGGTGAGTATCATAAACAGATAGAAAGCTTTTCCATTTTAAAACCAACTACCGAATACTTGACCAGAAAGAGCAAAATTAAGCCTTCACTACATATTGGAAGCCATTACGATCAACTAGAAAACCCAAACCTGTATATTTAAAACAGAAATGTCCAGCTACTTTGTTTGATCTGTTCGATAACAGTATCACAACATCATTTAAACCAAAAATTATAATCATTCAACGTTATTCTGTTCTACAATTATATCTATTCAACCTTCTTGTTGAACTATCAGGCAACCACCGTTCTTCTTTAGTTTGCATGGAACCATCATTTATATGATTGCAACATGCACAACATAACTTCACACATTTTGACATTGTATTCATATCGTATTGAGCGTAGATATCTGGACCAAGTGACATTTTGTTACGTTTGAAGAAGACAATTTATTAGCAAAATACGTACACTTTATCTTTAGGCTTCCATTTACAAAACAAGCAAATTACTGACTGTCTTCTTTTAAATATCTTCCGGTCTTTAAAACACTTCGATCAAGCCACATGCATTCCAATCCGGCACTCTTACCTGCAGTAGTAACTTCATGGCGACACTACCCTGCATACTACTTACAACTCATGTTGCAAGTAATATCCAACACAATGTAATTTTACTCCTTAGCTTAAAGTCATGCTTTCCTACTCCACTTGATATAAACTTTCCACTGCAACAGTGTCCTATTTTGTAAGTAGTTAATTATAATTCAACATGTAAACTACTCTTTTCTCAAACTATAAAGCTGATTAAAATTTTTTCATAAATATGTTGTTTCTGTTCGGTGTCCTTGCTTTTTCAAAAGTGGTGATTCTATTTTACACCTGATAGAAAGATGAAAGCTAGAAAAAAAAGCAGGAATTATGAATTTTGTAATGCCTTTAAGTGATCATTATTGAGGAGTAACAAGTTATTTTTAAAAAGTAACGTTTATTTCGAAAATAGCACAAACCCCGGTCTCCAGGTGGCCCCTGTGGTCCAGGTAACCCTGGTGGGCCTAGTCGACCTTGTTCACCTTTCGGCCCAATAGGACAATCTTTGGCAGCTTCACCTGAATCGCCGATAAGACCTGCTTCACCTTTTTCTCCCTCTGGTCCATATGGTCCTATCTCTCCAACATCTCCTTCTGAACCTTGCTCTCCCAGTGGACCTTAAATACATTTAATTGACAACAGAAAACACCGTGATCATATACTTCTCAAAAAACAAAGCACAACACAATACTTTAACTAAAAATATATTTCTTGTTACCCGTGTTCCGTAATGGCAATGAATTTTCAGAAAACCCTCATGAATGAGTTGATTAATTGAAATGAAGTTGAGTAAAATTAAGATTTTTAAGAAAATGGATGGTATGAACCCTTATGAATACTGTAAAGCCTTGTTTGGATTAATTTTTTTAACTGAATAGTTGGAAATACGTGACTATTCGATGAGGTAATTTTTCAATAAAACAATCCATCTTTTTACATTTTGTAAAATACGCATCAATTAGCGTCTTTTTTCCATTGGTTTAATGTAAAAGTTTTCCTAATCTGACAATTTACTGTACTATGAAAGCTAACGAATTAAGTAACCGGAGTAATAATAGTGAAGATTTTATGTTAATTGTTACTAATTTCTATTTAGCGTACAACTTCAAGATCACGATGAGTATGCACAAGTAATGCAAAATACATAACTTGGTTTCTGTGATGGATGAATAAACTCAATAGCTAATGAGTCCCATACCAGGACGAAACGGGCGTCCAGTGCTGCCAGTTCTCTAATGGTGGTCTAACAGTGATTGATTGGTGATTTCAAGTATGTGAAAAAAACCTCCAAATCTCTGCCCGAAAATATCATAACAGTGCTCACTAGTGACTAGCTTCGTGAGAAAATTCTCGGAGTTCTAGTTTAGAAGACGTGACTAATGGAGTTCAACCCTGTCGGGTGTAGGCAGTAACTACCAAAGACAAATGGGTGAGGTCGCGCTAAATCCCTAGATCAATCAGAGTTAGACATTTACACCGTTGGATGCCAGCCCAGTGGTCCGATGGTAAGGCGTTCGCCTATAATGCCGAAGGTCCCGGGTTCGAATCCTGCGAGGAGCAGGAGTCGTGGATGCGCACTGCTGATGGGTCCCATACCAGGACGAAACGGTCCTCCAGTGCTTCCAGGTTTCTAATAGTGGTCTAACAATGATTGATTGATGATTTCAAATTCATAAGTATGATAGAAAAGTATTCCTATCACTGAATAATTATTAGTAGTGACGAGAAATCTTCCCTAAAGAAGCGGTTAACTAATAAAAGTAGTTGACTATGAACCAGTAAAGCTCTGTTTCATATAATTCAATTTTGATACTTGGATAGTAAGTATGCTTATTCCTCTTATATAAAACATATATGGATTCAGTTATTTAGTCCATTAAATATTGCGCTTATCAGTGGAATTGAATTACCTTCATTTCCTTCAGGTCCTATATCACCTTCTGGACCAATTTCTCCAATTTCTCCAATCTCACCAATTGGTCCTTCATCACCCTGATCACCTTCTTCACCGGGTATACCTTGAAGTTTTCAAATAAATCATAAAAGTTTTTCAAATATAGAATTAGTAATAGAATTTCTAATAAATGATTGCTTTGGTCAAATGAAATAAAATGACTATGTGCAATTAGTAAGAAACGGCAAATAACTCGATGATATATAGTCTGTTCACTCGATCAATATTAATTTAATATCAATGAATATATGCTCAGTAAATTACTACTTTTAGAATTGTTTTGATGTTTCATGACGAGTGGTATGACAGAATGGGATCATAGCTTCTATGTCATTCTAGAAGTTTATTGTTGTAACCGGTTGCTTAAATAATTCCCAGCTAAATCCTATTGCTTAGTGTTCTCTGACGACACAATACACTGGACAAGTTTCCAAGAATCAAAAACACGGTTGAACAGGAAAAGATTATATTCCAAATAGCAAGGTTAAATGGAAATAAGGAGCCAAAGGCGATGGCGATGGCGAAGGCAAAGAAGGCAAAAATGGATACAACGTTAGTCTATTTATAGCATTTACATGAAAAGCTTCTGGACAGAAATTCACGTGATCGACTGGATTAGATTTAACCAATCAGCACGCAGCTAACAATACGAGAATCTTCTACTCTGTTCTCCAAGAATCTATCAGGCGCTGATTGGATAGGAAATTAGCCAATCAGCGAGCAGCAACGTAGTCATGCTTTAATTCATCTATGTCCCACTAACATTTATATACATCGGAAAGATGAATAAAAGCTGAAAACAGTTAATACTTCGAAGGCAAACCCAAAAAAAGCAACATTTTTAATTGTATTTTTTTAAAAATTACTAGAAAGAATATAAACTTGAACTGATTATTTGATTGATATGATTATGTAGTTTGGATGTAAACTAGTATAAATGGATGTTATTAATAAGACTGAATTCAACATGTGAATTTAACTGAAATTAGTAAGTTACGGCTGACTACATTTAGGTTTGGTTAAATGTGGAAAATCTTCTACTCCTGTAGAATTTGTTATTTTTTTAATAAATGCAATCTATCTATAGTGGCACATAATAAATTTTGAATTTACACACCTGATTCTCCTTTTTCGCCTGTATCACCAGCTTGACCTTGTTCTCCTTGAGGTCCTTCCAATCCTTCTCTGCCTTTGAGTCCAGCAGTTGTACTACTTGGAGGACCAATATCACCTGCTTCTCCTCTATCTCCCTTTTCACCATCTGGACCTAATTCACCTTCGGAACCAATATTTCCTTTAGCTCCTCTACTACCTTCACTACCCACATCTCCAATTCTACCACGTGGACCTCGTGACCCCTAAAATGCAAGAAGTCTCAATTAGTAGTTAGTTGTTAATCTGTGTTAGCTGTTAACTTCATCAAGAAGTTTTTTTTAAAGCGTTATTTTTTTCAATTAAAATATTTTATAAGTCATATTGTGGTGCGAGCTACTTATAAGTAGTATATGACGTGAGTGTCAACGTAATGTCTGGCAGCAGAAGATGGGGGAAGATCAAGAAAGGAAGAGTTAGAACACAATGGAATTTGTATGAAACGCATGAATAGTAGTGACAATGGATTGATGTTTTGCAACAGGAACAGTCCAGTTCGATATGATGGACTGATATTTTGCAAATTAACGATTTACGATATGATTTTCCGATTTTACTGAGTAACTCTGTAATTTTCGTTAAATACAGTTCGGTTGCCACACCTGTGTTCTCCTTCACTACAATATGACATTTTGGATCCCACATATTGATAGTACAAACTATATGAGATAGGTTTAAAGCGATAAAATACTCTCACAATCATATTATTTTTTTAATGAAGAAACATAAAAAGCCTCTTTACTTAAGAAAATGCATTTCTACCTTTGGTCCAGGTTCCCCTATTGGACCTTCATCACCTTTTAGGCCAGGTTCTCCATCATTCCCATCTAATCCAGGTTCTCCTAATAACCCATCTTCACCAGGTTGGCCTGGTTCTCCCTTGATTCCAGGTAGAGTTTCAGCAGTAGAACCTGTTTCACCAACTTCTCCAACTGGACCAGGTTCACCTTTCTCACCTTGTTCTCCTTGACTTCCTTCTGGCCCAGTATCTCCCGGTTCGCCTTCTACAGATTCCCCAGTAGGTCCAGGATCACCAGATGGACCTTGGGAACCATCTACACCCGGTGGGCCTACAATAAAATAATCCAAATGAAGACTGATCAACTGAAGCATGTAACAGTTTACAGATTTTTTTTCAGAACTTTTTTAGTAATTAATTAAAACTTTGTAAGAAAACCTAAAAAATCTTCTGAATATGATGATGATTGATTTTTACTATGTTAATATCTACGTAGGGAAACCTTGTAAAGAATGATGCTTTGGTGCTAATTACATTTATTTCTTCAAAAACTATTGCTTCTTAGGATAAATAACTAACTACCTTTCATATTTATAGAATTGTTTTGTATGATGTCAATCAATTAATCCTTAACATTAAAAGTTATTCATAAATTGAACAAAAAGAAAAGGTTTGTTACCTCATAAACGTTGGCTTGTTTCCTAAGAGTAAGTAAGTAAGTTACCTGAAAAGATTTCATACAGATGAATTCAATGATCAATCTTAAATTTGTTTATGAATATTGATGTATTTAGGAAAGTAAATCGGTAAACAGCAGTTAGACTAAAACCAATGACCTTCAAGCTTTATAGACTAAATACTTAAACTATTTTCTATAAGATACGGCGATCATTATCAATTCCGATTAGTCTTTTACTTTTTTTCCGTGATAGAATTGTTTGTTAGCAGCATCATCGACGAGAAAGGTGGATCTGATACAGATGTGAGGGCGCGGACTGGCAAAGCAACGGCTGCATTTCTACAATTGAAAAATATCTGCAACTCCAAACAACTTTCAAACAAAACCAAAATCAGGATTTTCAATACAAATGTCAAGACAGTTCTACTGTATGGAGCGAAAACATGGAGAACTACGAAAGAAATCATTCGGAAGATACAAGTGTTTATTAACAGTTGTTTACGCAAAATACTTCGGATTCGTTGGCCAGACACCATCAGCAACAACGTACTGTGGGAGAGAACAAACCAGATTCCAGTGGATGAGGAAATCAGGAAGAAGCGGTGGAAGTGGATAGGACACACACTACGAAAAGCACCTAACTGTGTCACAAGACAAGCCCTCGCTTGGAACCCTCAAGGCAAAAGGAAAAGAGGAAGGCCAAAGAACACATTACGCCGAGAAATAGAGAAAGATATGAGAGGAATGAACAAACATTGGACAGAACTGGAGAGGGAAGCCCAGGACAGAGTTGGTTGGAGAAAACTGGTGGGCGGCCTATGTTCTATTGGGTGTAACAGGCGAAAGTAAGTAAAGTAAGAATTGTTTGTTAATTTTAGAAACTTTACAGTATACAACAAAATAAAATCAAATGACTTCTTTGATGAAGGGAAGATAAGTAAAATGAAAGTTTTCATGTAAATTTAATTTTACCTTGAGGACCAATATCTCCTATTTCACCTTCTGGACCAGAAGAACCCTTTTCACCTACATCTCCCATACTACCTGGTTCACCTTTTTCTCCAGTAGTACCGGTAATACCATCTAATCCCGTTTCACCAATCTCACCACGTTCACCTAAAAATCAACCAGTAAAAAAATTAAATAAATAACAAAATATTGTTCAGTCAGTCAGTCAAATGCAACGTAGAACTTCGTATGTAAGTGTTCATCACTTCATGTTGCCATACCACATCAGCACAGAGATATAATTGTCAATTCAAATCCAACAGTAGAAGAGGTAGTAAAGGTAGTAGAAGTAATCGGAGAGGTTAAGGTTAGAAGATATTATTCAAAAAGTATGATCCAGTGAGAAAAGTTTAGAAAGTCAAAACTAGAGTTGTTGAAGAATCCAGAAGATTAGGATTTGAGAGAACACAAAGAATAAATGCACCGAGGCCATTGCGAACGATTTTGAGCCATGTCATTCAAGGTCTCTAACCATTGGTGACTTTCGTCTCGCTGACCCCAACCAGGTAGCCTACATCTGCCAACATGACTCAGTCCGCTTGTCAGTGACTTCATGAATTTCTGCCATGTTTTGGTCTGGCCGGCCCTACTCCTACACCACAAAACATAGCTTGTTGAGACAGTCGGTGGTTAGGCATATGCAAGATATTGTGTATGTAGTAAATAAGACCTATCAGATTATGTAAGTTGAAAATTACTGAAAAATACTGAAGAAATTCATTACGTCATTAAAAAAGTTTTCTTTTTTTAAAGAAAATTATTGGTTTTCTATTCAGCAATACACAGTTGTTTATCTCTAAAAATTATCTATGCAATGCAATATAAACCTTAAAATAAAAAAGGATTTAGAAAATGAAAGATGTTATTTGTATTATTATCGATTAATGATTGACTTTTAGAGTCATTATTTTTCTTCATAAAAAAAATGATCTTTTAAAATTTACTACGAAATAAAACGTTAATTACTGTCAATTTCCAATTATATAGTCGATTTAACTACTAAATCAGTTTATTTTATTTCTGTTTATTGCATATTTAATAAACGTGTTCTAATTACAGATATATATATTGATATATGGTCTAGTTTGTAAAAGTTAATTAATCAATAGTTTGTTTTAAAGCTAAAAATGTTTGAACTATATATATGTTGTGATCTATTTTCATTTGTTATTGGAAAATGTAATTATGGTAAAAAGAACTGTGTACATTGTTGCTACGCCTGCACGTAAACACGTCAACTTGATATACCTGAACTATTACGAGTTTACCTAGTCAGAAAGGAGAGCGAGGATCCGGTGACACGACATGTTACTCAAATCCGATTATTACAACCCCCATGTTTAGTTAAAATAAGAAGATATGATATGAAGTGGAACGTGTATTCTACAAGCATCCAGAAAGTACGAGGTCCGAAACCAGAAGAGAATCAGGATCCCGGACTAGGGATCCGGGAGGGGGTCCTGGTACTGGTCATAAACGTTACAGATAATGCGTATTTATACATTCGAATAGGAAACAGCATCGAATTCTGTGGCATTGACAGTTAAGACGACCAATAGGACGTAACATTTGAAGTGACATTGAAATTCAGGACAACCAATAAGAAACAACATTGAGTATTTGACTTTGACAGTTATAACGACCATAATTTTGACCAATAATTCTCTTAGGATATTGCATGAATATCCTAATAATTGTACACACATGATTCGAGCGATGATCGCTCATACTATGATGTAGCTGCAGTTTTGTGTTCTGAAAATGCATCTTCTATCGATGACAGTGGTTTGTTTACCACAGCCTTTATTAATGTGAATAAACATTCTAATGACAATCATCATAATTAGAGTAGTGTACAAATTTATTGTTTAGATTCGATGATAACATAACTCGACTGACAGACAATCTATTCGAAACTTTTATTAAAAGAATAAACACGAAACTTAAATATTCAATTGACAAAAATTATTTGTTTGTAGACCAACTTATTATTATTATTCACCTAAAGCTGATTAGCTTCGGTGGTTGTATGATTACAAATAAAATATTATACAAATAAAATATTATATTGCGTTCAATTAACAAGTTATTTTTTTGTCGGGAATTAGTCCATATTTGAATTGAAAAAAATGATCAAGTTAAATTTTTTTCGACTGCCCAGGAATTAAGAAAAATCTGAAATCAAGACAATTTAATTATTTCGGAGAGTCTCGCTGTGAACAATTGCATTAAGATCGTAAATCGAAGTAAACTATATAAGCCTATGAATACCGATCCAGTGGTTTGGAGGTTAAAATAAGTAAAGTTATTTTATTTAACTCACCATCAGGACCTGGTTCTCCTTCTGGTCCAGAATCCCCATCTTCTCCTTGTTCTCCATCTTCGCCTGGTTTGCCAGTTGTTCCCTCTGCTCCTTCAGGTCCAGGATCTCCGGATAAACCAGCTTCATTACATTCACCATTGTCTCCAACACTACCCTTTTCTCCTTCGGATCCCGTTATACCAGATTCACCTTTTGGACCTTGATCACCTGACTCCATATTTGTGCTAGGTTCTCCTTTAGGACCAGGTAGGCCTTTAGGTCCGGAATCTCCCTTTTCTCCAGGGCTACCAGGTTCTCCTTGTTGACCGGCTTGAAATGATAATATTTACAGTTAGTTCAGCCTTCATGCATAATAATCACTAATCAGAAAATATTCTTAACATTTTGAGTGCGTACCTTCAGCTCCAGGCTCTCCTTTCTGTCCAGGAAGACCTGGGTCCCCCTCATCTCCTTCATTCCCAGATTCACCGGGAGGTCCAGGTTCACCTTTAATACGTTCTGCAGAATCACCACTATCACCCATATCACCTTCCTCACCTATGAAAAAGTTATTACAAAAGGGTTACAATATTTTATACGACTACATTATATTTGTAAATAAAATATCACTGATAAGATAGCTACACTTCACACTTCTACTTACGTATGTTATAGCGTAACTCTACAGAGAGATTATTCTAAGTTAGGTGAAGTAGTATTTTTAAAATATAACCTTCAAAATCATACGTCAAAAAGAAATATATTAAAATTAATCATGTCTGTTGGTCTAAGTTAATTACCACTCTTTCTTGAATCTACTTTAATCGTACAAAAGCGATGACAGTTGCTTATTAAAAACATCATATAGTCTATAACGAATCACAATTAGAATTTATGACATAATGAAATACTACACTCACCCTTGAAACCTTTCGGGCCTTCAGGACCTTGCTCTCCGACATCTCCTTCGACTCCATCAATAACTTCACCAGGATCGCCTTGAAGTCCCTGAGGACCTTCAATACCTGCATATAATATATATAATAGGTTGTTTAATTAAATAATGGTTTGGATTTCTAAGTGGGAGAATTCTAGTGATAAAAAAAATTTTTTATTGAGTCTAACCTTGTGGACCTGGTTCTCCTTTCTCACCATCAGGACCTGGAAAACCAGTTTCACCTCGTTCAGAAGGTGCTGCCATTTGGCCAATTTCGCCTTTACGTCCATCTATGCCTCGAGAACCTTTTTCACCAACCTCACCATCGTCACCTTTCTCCCCGCGATCACCAATCAATTCTAAATAAATACCAATAAAAAGAAAGTGTATTTGTGAATCACAACTTCTACAAATTACAATATGATAATAAAAAATTTACAAAATATAATACTGAAACCTAAAAGCATGCATTCCATCACGCAATTAGGTAGAACTTACTCACAATCAATTCAGTTAAAACGACAAATGAAATCAGTTAAAAAGCAGAGAGCTACAATAGTGATGTATCATTTTTAGTCCGGAATCACTTACTTACTTACTTACTTACTTACTTACGCCTATTACCTTTTATGGAGCGAAAGCCGCTGGTCAGCATTCTCTAATCACCTCTTTCCTGAGCCTTTCTTCATAGTTCAACCAAATAGCGGTTCATTTATTTTCGTCTATATCTCCAATTTTCGGAATAATGATCCTCAGTAGCTTGTCTCATGGTCAATCCGTGCCGAATCTAGCCTACTGATCTTGAAGTTGGACGAGTACTGAATCTTTCGCTCGGCCAAACAACATTCCGTTGAAGACTTTTCCTGGTATTGGAAGTAGAGTGATTCCTCTGTTTTATGATCTCCTTCCTTTGATGTCTTAATGAAGTGTCCTTATTTCCGGTCTTTCTTCCAAATCCTGCTGAAGTGAGTGTTGGACATCTTCGCAGTTTTTTCTTTGTCTGCTCTCAGTGTCTCAGCTGGTATGTTGTCTGGTCCCGCCGATTTGCCGCTCTTGATTTGTTTGATAGCTATGCTGATTTCCTCATTTGTTGGTGGGTGACAATGAATAGGGAGGTCCCTGGTTGCTGCTTCAATGTTGGGTGGATTTAGTGAGTTTAGTCTATTCAAGAGTTCGTCAGAATAATCCACCCACCTCTTTCCTTGTTCTCGAATGTCGGTGACGGCTTTGGTTCTCCATAATGTGATCCGGTGAAATCCATATAGCTTTGTGCATGCGTTTGTGTGGGAATATGGTGCCGCCTATAATCATTATGTTCAAGGCACATAGATTACGAAGCTCACACTGTTTTCCTTCCTTTCTTACAGTCTTCATACCCAGTGTTTTCTATTCCAAACTCAGCATCTCAGTCTCCCATCAGAATAACCAAATCATTAAATTGGTCATTTATCGACGATTGACTGCAGTCTCAGAGAATTCATCCTTATCGTCTTCATTGTTATTGTTGGTGGGTGCATAGCACTGAATGACATTATTTGTAATCCCCTCCTTTTTGTCTTGATGTTGTTGTTCTAATCCTATGTTCATGAGATCCCCATCACACCAGTGCTTTTTAGGATTCTTTAAATAGCAATAGTGCAATTCTTTGCGTGTGTGTGGCATTTCCTTCTTCACAAATGGAGTACAATAGAATCTGCCCTGAAGCTAGTCTTTGTTGTCCAAACTGAGTCCAATGTGTTTCACTTATATGCCAAGTACTGCCAATCTCCCACAATGTGCGATCATTTCATATATCCATATTAATGGTTGGTCTGGTAGTGAGAAGAGGTACAGACTTTGTGACTTTGGAAGAAAATCGGCTTTCACTACAAGGCGTGATAAGTATTTTAAATGAAGATCTTCCAACTGCTATGGCAGGGTATGAATAGTTTTTTATAGCAAGTTACTTTTCTACGGGATGGAGTCGCTGACAGGATCGCCAACACTCCTTCTTTATCCTGTCTTGGGTCTGATAGTAACTCCAGAAGGGCTCTAGGAGGAGTTTTTAATGCGGATTAGTAACTTAAATTTGAAGCCCATTAAATTAAAAATTTTTTAATCCTATCACTGATTTGACAGAAGAATAGGAGAATCTGAACAAGAAAAAAATAGCTGTATTGGTCATAAATAAAATGCATTATTACGATATAAATAAGTCGGGCAACCAAGTGAGAAATATAAAACGCTAAATGTTTCACTTTATAAACCCAATCATGAAGTTGTTTAGTTCAGATGAAATTATGTCCAATTATGGTGCTATAAACAATCTCTCAAATCTCTCACCGCTATAGAATACAACATGTTAGTAATTATGTAAATTAGGTTAGGTTTTCTTTTTTAAAAAAATGGTTCTGAAATTAAAAATGAATGCTTTTGTGTAAAAAAAAATGAATAGCATAAAACCAATATAAACAATTATCACAAATCTAAGTAATAACTTTTAAATGTTGGGTAGTTACAGTGTTCAATTATTTTTTTTTGTAGAGTTATGGAAATCATTGTTTTAACACATTGATTCTGTTACGATTACACGTCAACATGTCAACTGATATGTTTAAAATTATGACGAGTTTGTTTACCTTAGTCGGTGAACGAAAGCGAGGATCGAGAATCCGGCGACACGACAGGCTACTCTAATCCGAGCATCCTAAATCCCTATTAAACAGAAGAATACTTGATATGAAGTAGAACGTATATTCTATAAGCATACAGGAAGTACAAGGTCCGAATGCAGAAGAGGATAAGGATCCCGGACTAATGATCCGGGTCATGAAACGTTACAGATAGTGCATATTTATACAGTTCGGTCGAATAAGAAACAACATTGAAGTATGTGACATTGACAGTTAGGACATCCAATAAGAAACAACATTTGAATTATGTGATATTGAAAGTTAGGACGATTAATAAGAATTGACCAATAGAATTAGACTTACAAATAATTCTCTTAGGATATTGGATGAATACTCTAACAGAGTGTGAATATGGTTTTCATGTAAAGTGTTCATTAATTTTGCATATTAATATAAGTCACTGTTTATTTTTGAATGCAAAAGGTTTGTAAACGACCTAGCTTACATATACACAAAATTTTGTACATAGTTAAGCTTTTCAAAACTCCGCCAGTAGAACCTTAGGGGCTACTGCCGGTCCCAAGCCCGGATAAAGGAGGAGGGTTGGACATGGGGTTGGCGGCCCCATTCCGTTGAAATCTAACTTGCCAAAAAAACGCTAACCAGAAAAAATAATTCAAACCATTTTAACTCTGCCCTGGGAGTTGGAAGAAGAATTATGACGTCTCGTGATGAAAGCCGAGTTCCCTCGGAAGTCACGGGGCCGATGCCTCTTCTGACAACCACAGCAACCATTCTGATAGGTACATGGAACGTTCGTACATTGTGGGAGACTGGAAGACTATTTCAAGTTGCGGCAGAAATGAAAAGATACAACCTCGAGGTGCTCGGCATCAGTGAAACACATTGGACACAGGTAGGACAACTGAGACTTGCTTCAGGGGAACTGCTGTTATACTCTGGTCATGAAGAGGAAAACGCTTCACATACACAAGGAGTTGCACTGATGCTGTCCAAACATGCACAAAAGGCACTGATAGGATGGGAATCTCATGGACCCAGGATCATTAAAGCATCCTTCAAAACAAAGAAACAGGACATTACAATGAACGTCATCCAATGTTATGCACCTACCAATGACTACAATGACGACGTTAAAGATCAATTCTACGAAAGGCTGCAGTCAGTCGTCGATAAATGTTCACCAAAGGATTTGACGATTCTTATGGGAGACCTGAATGCCAAGGTTGGAATGGACAACACTGGGTATGAAGACATCATGGGACGACATGGACTGGGAGAAAGGAACGAAAACGGTGAGAGATTTGTAAACCTATGTGCCTTCAACAAACTGGTCATCGGTGGCACAATATTCCCGCACAAACGCATTCACAAAGCCACATGGATTTCACCGGACCACACTACTCAAAACCAAATTGACCATATCTGTATCAACAAAAAGTTCAGAAGGACCATGGAGGATGTGAGAACCAAGAGAGGAGCTGATATAGCTTCAGATCACCACTTGCTGATCGCCAAAATGAGATTGAAGCTAAAGAAGCACTGGACAGCGGGGCAGACAACATCACAGAAGTTTAATACGGCCTTTCTTCGGGATACCGTAAAACTCAACGAATTCAAGATAGCCCTCACCAATAGGTTCCAGGCCTTTCAGGATCTACTCAATGGAGAGGAAGCAACACTGGAGAACAATTGGAAAGGGATTAAGGAGGCAATCACTTCAACATGTCAGGAGGTCCTTGGTCGCAAGAAGCAGCATCACAAGGAATGGATCTCTGTTGGTACTCTTGAAAAAATTCAAGAAAGGAGGAACAAGAAGGCAGCTATCAATGTCTGCCGAACAAGAGCAGAGAAAGTTAAGGCGCAAGCCGAGTATACAGAAGCAAACAGGGAAGTGAAGAAGAGCATCAGAGCTGACAAACGAAAATATGTGGAAGATCTAGCAATGACGGCGGAAAAGGCTGCAAGAGAAGGAAACATGAGACAATTGTACGAAACAACAAAGAAGCTCGCCGGGGACTATCGTAAACCAGAACGACCAGTGAAAAGCAAGGAAGGGAAAATAATCAGCAACACTGACGAACAGCGAAATAGGTGGGTGGAGAACTTTAAGGAACTATTGAATCGACCAGCTCCACTGAACCCACCCAACATCGAAGCAGCATCCACGGACCTCCCAATTAATATTGGCGCACCTACGATTGAGGAGATCAGTACAGCCATCAGACAAATCAAGAGCGGCAAAGCAGAAGGACCAGACAACATTCCAGCAGAGGCAATGAAAGCAGATGTGGAAGCAACTGCGAAAATATTTCACATTCTCTTCAAGAAGATTTGGGATGAGGAACAAGTACCATCAGATTGGAAAGAAGGATACCTCATCAAAATACCGAAGAAAGGCGATCTCAGCAAGTGTGAAAACTACAGAGGCATCACTCTTCTTTCAATACCAGGCAAAGTCTTCAACAGAGTATTGTTAAACAGAATGAAGGACTTCGTAGACGCCCAACTTCGAGATCAACAGGCTGGATTTCGTAAGGATCGATCGTGTACTGACCAAATTGCTACATTACGGATCATTGTGGAACAATCAATTGAATGGAACTCACCACTCTACATCAACTTCATCGACTACGAGAAAGCATTCGATAGCGTGGATAGGAAAACACTGTGGAGGCTTCTTCGACACTACGGTGTGCCTGAGAAAATAGTCAACATCATACGGAATTCTTATGATGGATTCAACTGCAAAATCGTACACGGAGGTCAGCTGACAGACTCTTTTGAGGTGAAGACCGGTGTGAGGCAAGGTTGCTTACTCTCACCCTTTCTCTTTCTCCTGGTCATCGACTGGATTATGAAGACGTCAACATCTGGAGGGAAGCACGGTATCAACTGGACAGTTAGGACGCAGCTGGACGATCTGGACTTCGCAGATGACATGGCTCTTCTATCGCACACTCAACAACAAATGCAAGAGAAGACGACCAGTGTAGCAGCAGCCTCTGCAGCAGTAGGTCTCAACATACATAAAGGAAAAAGCCAAATTTTCCGATGCAACACAACATGCACCAAACAAATCACTCTTGATGGAGATGCCTTGGAGTATATTAACACCTTTACATATCTTGGCAGCATTATCGACGAGAAAGGTGGATCCGATGTAGATGTGAGTGCGCGGATTGGCAAAGCAAGGACTGCATGTCTACAATTGAAAAATATCTGGAACTCCAAACAACTTTCAACCAAAACCAAAATCACGATTTTTAATACAAATGTGAAGACAGTTCTACTGTATGGAGCGGAAACATGGAGAACTACCAAAGCCATCATCCAGAAGATACAAGTGTTTATTAACAGTTGTCTACGCAAAATACTTCGTATTCGTTGGCCAGACACCATCAGCAACAACGAACTGTGGGAGAGAACAAGTCAGATTCCAATGGAGGAGGAAATCAGGAAGAAGCGGTGGAAATGGATAGGACATACACTACGAAAAGCACCTAACTGCGTCACTAGACAAGCCCTCACATGGAACCCTCAAGGCAAAAGGAAAAGTGGAAGGCAAAGGAACACACTACGCCGAGAAATAGAGAAAGATATGAGAGGAATGAAAAACAATTAGATAGAACTGGAGAGGGAAGCCCAGGACAGAGTTGGTTGGAGAAAACTGGTGGGCGGCCTATGCTCGATTGGGGGTAACAGGCGAAAGTAAGTAAGTAAGTAAGCTTTTCAAAGCGCTAAACTAATCTACTTGTCAAACAGACTGCTGTTTGGCCTGTAATATTTTATCTATACATTTATTTTTATTGACATGCTCTCTATAAGTGAGAATATACTGTAGAACGAATGGATATTAGCTAATGCTTTTAACTCTCTGATTCGCTTAAATACTGATTGATTGCTTCAAATACTTAATAATTTGTTTTCTTATACGTACATATTTGTTTGTTGAACAAGAATCATTGATTCGTTCGCCGATCCTTGTGCTAATTCATATTATATGGAACTAAACGTTGCAAATAAAGTGTTTTTGACACATGTAGTCTTGACTTCTGAATATCCTGTGACGTGAGTGGATTAACATATTAACAGTTATTTAATCGAAGCGTATACCAAAATTAAGAATAGAAAGTTTATCTTACCACTACTGACGGTTTTACATTCATCCATTTACTTGATATTGAGATCTTAATAATCAATTTTTGGCATGAAAAGTCGCTTAATCGACAGATAAAGTGTACAGTTGAATCGAAGAAATCCATATAACTTGAGTATTTCATTTTAACCAGTCCTGGCTGGTTAGTGATTGATTGACAGAATCTTAACACGGACACAAAAACCTTACCCAGATTTACTACCTTGTGTGTATGTATCTGGTCTAGGCAAAGCGTTGGTTCCCCTGATCAAAAGCTGAATTTACTATTCTCTGCGTTACTATGTGATTCCGTAACCTGTCCTTGGAAAGTTAAACAAATGAACAGTTTTCGAGAACTGACTCACAGGCAATGTAATCAAAGCCTTATTCATGTATATAGGCAAACTAAGCTGCAATCAGTAGTCAATAGCTAGCTAGCTAGAGATGATAGGTAGAATGATAAAGCTATTGAACTTTATTAATTTAAATAGCTAAGATATAATACAGTCACTGTCTACCCAGGCCTAGTGTGGTGCGAGCTACTTATAAGTAGTATATGACGTGAGTGTCAGCGTAATGTCTGGCGGCAGAAGATGGGGGAAGATCAAGAAAGGAAGAATTAGAACACAATGGAATTTGTATGAAACGCAGGAATAGTGACAATGGATTGATGTTTTGCAACAGGAACAGTCCAGTTCGATATGATGATGGACTGATATTTTGCAAATGAACAATTTACGATATGGTTTTCCGATTTTACTGAGTAACTCTGTAATTTTCGCGAAATACAATCCGGTTGCCCACCTGTGTTCCCGTTCACTACGCTAGTATACTGAATACCATAGGAATAGACTGAACAAATCAAGATTGTATTATTATTGTATGAAGTTACTGAATTTCGGATGCATCTGTGTATCTAGTGTTAGAAAATGGTTGATTTTACCTTTAGATAGAATAACTCAATATAAATTACGAAAATATATTCACAAAATGAAAAAGATTTAAGACACTGATGAGTAAGTAATCTTTCCAAAATTTATTAAAATTTGAAAAAAAACTGCTGTCAGTTTTTAATTAATAACTATTTGCGAAATGATGGAGGTATACGATAGACCACCCGAAAAGATCTAGATTTATCTACAATGTGACCACTATCTACCAGGTGTGCTAAGATAGAACTGTGTATTGTTTTTGACAGACCCTTCGTAAACCATGCTGGGCGATATTCACTCATTCGTTGTGTAAGTTGCCTGGAAGTACGCCCACTATAGCTATCTCCACAGGAGCAGCTGAATTTGTAAATGCACATAGAGGAGGCCAACTCAGGTAACTTATCCTTCGTTTGGGTAGACATCGCTGGTCGACTGGAGAAAGTCAATGCAAGTTTGGCAGCGTTGAATGTTCTACTAATTACTCTTATTAATCTGTCCTGCAGAGTATCGCAGGCCACATCTCCGTTGAATTGTAACTTCATAAATAAAGGCTTCTTTTGGGCGGTCTTTCAGGTGATCTATCGCATACCTCCATCATTTCCCAACAGAGTTCGATCCCGTCTCCTACACATTAATAACTATTTGTTGATAACAGAATTAGGATGTCTTATTTTATTGTCAGTTTCATTGATTACAGAATAAATAATTAGAGAAGTCAGTTTGATTAAACTCATATGTAATAAATGCACCAACTATGCGTGTGAATGGAAAATCGGAAGACTACATTCGCTATTTTTATTAGAAAGATAGCTTAACATGTAAACTTTGTAGGTTGAAACTATGAACAGTCAATATTCTAGGCAGGTAATACAAATAGAGTTATATTATTTGTCTCAAGAAACGTTGTTTAAAACAAAAAAAAACCTATTAAAATATCAATTATTCCATAAATCACAACATTTTTATTTTTTAATTACCAGATTCATTTTTTGCTACTATTTGTCTCCAATCAATTGTACAGTTTGTCATAACTCCAGCTACACCTTTTTCACCTTTCTCCCCGACTAAACCTTCATCACCTCTTTCACCTAATTCACCAATCATGCCTTTGACATCAATACCATCTTCACCCGTCTCTCCATCGTCACCATCATCGCCAACTTCACCGATTGGTCCTTGTTCACCATCTATGCCCTGTAATGATTTCATTGAAAATCATGGTTAAATGATTCATTACGTAAGATTAAACACTTGTTAAAACCTGTTATATAATTATAATCAATGCTTTACTCGAAGTAGCATCTCTTCTTGTGAAATACGTATTTCGGGATACAATAAAGTAAATTCCACCTCACACTTATATGTAGCACTAGCTAGATAAAAACTCAAGTTTCATTCATTTTGGAGAACATAATTTAAAAGTGCATGAATACCAAATATATATATTTAATGCATTTAATCTTTATTCCCCGACCCTAGCTGCTACCTTGACGTGGTGGTCGGGCTTGCCTATCGTGATGATCCAACCGAGCAATATTGGCTGCAACATATGTTCCTGAAGGTTCTACCATGCCAGACAGGTCGATTGAAGAACGATGAGACTAAAAACAGCTACCCAAGGTCTGAGGGCGAAGTCGTACTGCTGATTATAGAGGGGTGTGACAGCATCAAAGTGTTTCCCTCGAACAACCAACATCTGCAGAGATGCTGCCTTCTCACAAGGAAGGAAGGGTTAGAAAAGGTTGACCCTAAGAATGTCACAATTCAACTTTTCTCACGGATTTCAGTCTTCGGCGGTAAGGTTTCTTGAAGAGCGGAGCTAACGATTTAAGAACCTCCTATAAAACATCCTTGAGTTACTGGCCTCAAGCAGTTACCCCTTGGAATCTACCCTCACGCTCCCAGGTCTCTAAGACCGACACTAATCTACCTACCTGTTCAGGTTCCTCAGGAAGCACCCTTCCACGGTGTGGGCAGCCGGGAAGTGACAACCGCCCCCATACCCATAACAGCACGCGAGACCAAACTGGTCACAAACAGTCCCCTCCTACACCCACTAAAATCTCTCTTGTCTCCACGACTAGCCCTTCTCACCTTCCTTTATCACACTGCACCGCTAATGCAAACGATGCGAGTTCACGAAAAGTTATTCCTGGTCTCCTGAAGCCCCGTTCTAAATTACATGTTGGAGCTTTTAATGTCCGTACAATGTTTCAAACTGGACAACAGGCCTCCTTAGCTTGAACTTTAGAATCTCGCGCCATCTATACATGCTGCTCCTACGAAACGCGCATATGGGATCTGAATAGAGTCAGTGATTTGACCTCATCGTGTCAAAATAAAGAACTCTCTCTCTTAGACTGGATCCCAGTAGATAGTCGCTCGTGCGCAGTCCGACTAAACGACACAAAAAGGACTCGGGAAGATAGGGACATTCGCCGTTGCCTCTTCATCGTCAATGCCTACGCTCCCACTGACTGCAGCTTGGACGAGGCAAAAGATGAGTATTATAAAAGCTTTTAAACCTCCTCCTAAACTTTAGGCGATCTGACAGAGTAATAGTTGTTGGTTAGTTCAATGCTCAAGTAAGTAGACTAAGTGAAAAGGGAAAACACCTGGGTGGATCTTATGGTTTCGTGACTGATTGAACACATAGTGGCGACCGTCTGCTCCAACTATGCTCAGATAACCGCCTGTTTCTAGCAAATGCTTACTGTAAGCACAAGGCAAAACATCTTTAGACATGGTGACCCCTCAATTTGTACCAACGCTGGACTCAACTAAATCACATCGCTTTCATTCACCGATGGAAGGGTTCGATATAAGACTGTCGCTCGTTCTGCAGCACATGTGTAGATTCACACCACGCCCTAGTACGAGCGCGTACTTATCTGTATCTTACTGGACGTAGAAAAGACAGTGCAAGTAAACTCTAAGTGTTCTACGATAATGATAGCAAAGCTAAGAGTACATTTCACGGGCACCTAGAAAAACAGTTAGGCAAAGATGTAAGTGATGCCCACCTTGATGCAGCTTGGAATGATATCCAGAGAAAGATATGAAAACATACTAACCCATTATCCGGATGGTCAGTTATTTTATACAATCGTAATTTCATGAGAAATATGTAGATTAAAGTTTTAGCATGATGGGTCATTTTCGTTTTTATAGCTAAGATTATTCAATTGCAATAATAATATGTAATATGGACTATTTAATCTTAAATCGGTTTTTGGAATAATATGAATTTTCACCAGAAAATATTACAAAGTGTACTAAGAATTTGTGATTTCCATGAAAGCGAAGACACGTAAGTTGTCATTTTTTACTGAATTTTCGAAGAGCGATTGCTATCGATAAGTTCATTATATCGTTATTTAAATAAGTCGTTTAAAAATTCAACTGAACAGGCAATAACATACTTGTTGTCCTTTTAGACCCTCCTCACCATCAGGACCAGGTTCTCCTTCATCACCTCTATCGCCAATATCACCAATACTACCTTCACGACCTTCATCACCTTCATCTCCAGGGATAACATCTTCTACAACCCGAGATACAATAGCTGAATCTCCAGGCTCACCGGCATCACCGTTAAAACCATCTTCACCAATACGACCCTACAATTTCGTAAGCAAATATAAAAAATCAAATAAGCTTTATCTATCTAATTTGGTCAGTTACTCTAACATCAAGAATTTATAAGTAATTATTATTTAACATTGGTGAAGGTGAATTTTATTTCAGTTAAAAACAATTTATTTAGATATTTTAATCACAAATTTATTTAATGATACACTAAGATATTGTAAAACTAGTATATATTAATTAGATATGTAAAAGAAAGTGTATGGTAGTTTTATATAGGAACTAAAGCATTAGAACTAGAGCGGATCTTATATAACATGTTTTAAATGTAGGCAAATAAATGAATGATAATGCATATTCAATACATATTCAATAGAGTTTTCTCTCATTTGCCTCTACGTATCAGAACCACGTGATTAATAACAGTAAATCAGCTCAAAATATGTTCAGATCTTAATCACAATCATTTTTTCAGTTCACTTGGCTTAGTGTCCGATTTTCACTTTGTTCATCAGAGAAACTCAGTATCAAATAATATCAGAGAACATATCAATGTAGTTTATCATTTATCCATCAGTTAGTTCTAGGGATTGAAACTTGGTAAGAAACATGATACTTAGGTCAAGATTTACATTTACTTCCGATCACCTAAAATCAAACTGTGCGTTAATTACTTAAAATATGCAAACACAAATGCAGCTTGGCTATACGTTTCTTGATCAGAGGTGTGTACCGCCACGTTGTTTCAACAAATGTCATCCTCTTGCAAAGATATATATATCAGTCACTTTTACTAACAATTAAAAGCGTTTCAGGCAGATTTCCTAGTAGTAATATGAACATTACTATAAATAGAAGAATACTATATGCCCTAGCTTCTGACAGTATTTTGCGTTAACGAACAATAAAGTTTTAATAGCTTATATTTGGTGATGTGAACATTAGAGTTAATCATTCCATATAAAGTAAAATGTAAGATGAATACAGAATTCACAATATACGATTTTGTTATGTGAGAAAAAGGTCAATAAACACTGGATTTATGATGTGTCTATTATGACTCATCTATAGTAATGAGTATTAATCATCTTATTTTCGATTGTTATTGGTCCATATGAAAGTTGGATATGTGCACATATTTGTGCACAATAGATTGTATGTTTTATGGAAGAAAATAGAATTTTAATTCATTTGTATTGATTGCTTGGATCAACACAAATGAATTAATCACCACCTCATTGTACAAGCGAGTGACTATGTTGATTCGTTAGCTAAGTGGATGATGCGATGGTATTCGAGTCCCGTGGTGAACATTGACTCTGAGATACAGGTACATCCAGCTGATCAGAACAAAATGACCGTCCTGGATCCCACTGTTAGCCACTATTCGCCTGCACTATTAATATAGAAGTTTGTCTATCTAAAAGGAAGTCTAAGGTACTGCTTAGCAATTTATGTAAGATAGAAAAGGTACACTTTTACGGTAGTTACTCAAGTAACAAACTTCTAATGAACAAATTTCCAACATTAAATATTCATATTTGTGCTAAGCACATACGAACACCTACGTACTATATGAAAATAAAGTGGAAAACAGTACTGATATTTACAGTTTACACTAGGGATTGATCTACATTAGGCAACCATTGAAAACCCTACAATGGATCGAAACCATCAACTTTTGTTCTGGTGACATGCTTGATAACCTTCAATCATTGTTTCCACTTCCAGATTTTTTAGATTTGTAATAGAACTCTATCTTCATCGAATATCACCTTGTTTCACTTTCGACTTGATTAATTCTACGGAGTCCAATGGTTATTCAAGAGTTCCATCACTAAGTCAGTCAGTCAGTCATAATTAAGAACTTGTAACTTCTTACAAGGTTTCAAATGATGTTTCCATCTATTTTGTGTTATAAATGTGTTCATGCACATGATTATTATCAGTTTGGTGATAAATTGATAATTTTTTATGATCTTAAAAAATCTGGTTCTCTGTGAATACAATAATGAATCATTTCAATGTATATTAATTACTATTTGGGTTTTTCTTTTTCGTGTGATCTTGTCTATTTCAACTGAAGAAGTAAACAACAGATTTCATGTTTTAGTATTCTTTCTTCATTCTTCTTTTTTTTGAAGAGTAATTAATAATTTCTCACTTACTGTGAGAAAGAATTGTTCACTATTTGACAAGTGAACTTGTAAAATTAAAATGAGATATACTGTAATTTTTCAAATATTATACTTTTTTTTCAATTACACTGTGAGTGGTGGTACACAGTAGGCCAGTCATTAATGTTAAATACTGAGTGTAACCTCCGACTGTAAAAATGAGTGGTGTAAACCTCCCGAAAGGGGAGCACTATATCCTGTTAAGATTAAAGAAACACCTTACCATTAAGTGCTAATTTGTAGTGCCTCCACGTATATTCGAGCTCGCTTACATTTAATTTGGTTAAGCCCTTTTCGATTAATTTATTTAACCAAGCCATTTGGATTGCAACAGTTTAAATGTACCATTCGTTCTTATTATTGTCTGGTTTGTATGAGCTCACACGACGTGTCATTTGACCTTGTCAATCATTCGTCGCTTTTATTCATGTGTGCCTATTTCGCTTGTTGCGTGTCTGTCTTATATTTGTCTGACTATATATTCTTAGTCATGCTCTATCTCTTTGACTTGGCTCGTTAGCCTTCTCCAATTCACGTTTCATCATTAGTTTTATTCGCTGCTTCGTTCATTCTTTCGAGCATTCGATCGCCAGTGTACACAAATGGTGATCCGGACGTCAACAAAATCGGCCACCATAAATTAACCAATTATCTAGATCCAAATCTTGTCATAAATTTTATCTGATCATTCAAACTTTTACTATGTATGCATATGATATGAAGTGAATCAAACTTATGGTCCCAATGATATAACATTACGATGGGATTATTTAGTGCAAACAAACAACTTACTTTTTCACCTTTGATTCCCGGTAGACCAATTAAACCATCTTCTCCTTGTCGGCCAACATCACCTCTATCACCTGGAATACCGTCGGGTCCTTTTTCCCCATCATCGCCTGGATCGCCTATTTCTCCACGTGGGCCAGCATCACCATCTTTACACAGAGGACAAACAGTTAATGGTTCACCTGGAAGAAAAAAAAAGTTATCATTATTATTCAGTTATTTGCATAAATAAGTAGAATAGCGTCAGTTCAACAATATAATAATATATAGATTGTATGTTGTTACTTTTAAAGATTAAGCAACCAATTTATTATATATAATGTGAATAATTATTCTGAATTCTAAACAATTTCACTTTATATATTTTGATTTCTGCTTATTGGTGCTTCTACATATTTAAATAACATTTACAACACTATTAAACTTATTATAAAAAGTTTGACGAAACAAATGGTTAAAGAAAATGTGCAGAAATTCTTGAAAATAGATTTTATGCTGATTTAACTGAGAGTTTTAGATCCTCATCACTCAGTAGTAGCAAAGTAGCTATTATACTTAAGCTAATTGAAAAGAGAGTGACCTGTTATGAAATATTTACTCATTTAACTGATCACTAAACAATAACTAACATCATATTTAGTACTCGGTGCAGACAGAACGTTTTCAAAACCAGGTTATTAGGCGATTAGGTTTACAAACTTGACTTGTTCAGTAAAGTAAATTTATTTTACATTGTGAGCCTTTGGTAGTGAACATTAAAATTAAGAGAGTTACACTTTTCCGGGGCGGCCAAACCAAAACATGGCACAAATCCATGAAGTCACTGACAAATGGACTGAGTCATGTTGGTGAATGTAGGCTACCTGGTTGGGGTCAGCGAGACGTATGACACCAATCGTTGGAGACATTGAACGACATTGGCTCAATATCGTTTGCAATGGTGCAGGTGCATCCACTTTTTGTATTCTCTCAAATTCTAATCTGCTGAATTCCTCATCATCCCTATCTTTCTCTTTTTGAGCTTATTTCACTGAATTATACCTCTCGAATCATATCTACAAACCTTAATCTTCTCCATTACCGTTAATACTTCTACCATCTCTACCACTATGGGATTTGAACTGACAGTTACGTCTCTGTGCTGATGCGGTATGACAACCTGAACTTATGTACTCATGTACAAAGTTCTACGTTGTAACTGACTGACTGAGTCTTCCATGTTACTAACTAGATCATTATCTCTCATTCTTCTTCATAATTCCTTTAAAAGTATGATTGCTATTAAAATTATCTTTTGGTCAATCTGTTTCCTATGATTAAACATCATAATTCACGATGAATGATGATGTTGAATTTAAATGAATTAACTACCATCAATTCAAGGTGGATTTCTCATACTTTTTTTAAAGTATATAGTAGAGTCAATCAAGTTAGACAATAAGACAATAACTTGTTTATGAAATTGAATGAAGATATCACAACTTCACAAATAACTAAACTTGCAATTGTAAACTAATGAATTTCTATTCATTTATTGATTGTTAGTATCATGTCGGTTATAAAAATCAGTGTACCGTACACACTTACTTTAAATGATAAACTAAAACACTATAATTATTTTAGTATATTTTAAGTTTCATCTTTTCTCCAATTTATTATAGGTTTATCATTTAAGTCACTATCAGATTAGGCTTCTATATAATTAATAATAATATCAATTATTGGAATTATCTTTAAGTATGAACAATTGATTTGACAAATGTTCATTATTATTCTTTCACCTTTATTAATGAACAACATTTAAAAATAAACTTGAGTGATGAAGTATACCTTTTGGACCTGGAGGTCCAGGTTCACCGCGTTTTCCAATTTCTCCATCACTCCCACTATCACCAGGTTCACCACGAGGACCAACTGGACCAACATTACTATCGCCGCCGAATCCTTTCTCACCAGGTTCACCTTCTTCACCAGATTCACCTTGGTAAAATACAGTAATAATTATGTTAATAATTTAGCTGAGACAGATGTACAACAGTAGTTCAAAACATTACAGTCATTTCTGGCAATTAACAAATGATTAATTCCGAACTGGTTGCTTACATTCTTTTCCTCATCTCATTTTTATTTTTATCTAATCATTTGGAGTAATTAACCTATTTGTAAAAGCAACTTTATGTCTCTCAGTCCATATGCTGAATACTTACTTACACCGGTTGCCCATAATGGAGCATGGGCTGACGACCAGTATTCTCTAGCCTACTCTGTTCTGGGCTTTCCTTTCCAGTTCTGTTCAATGTTTGTTCATTCATCTCATATCTGTCTAAATTTCTCGACGTAAAGTGTTTCCTGTCCTTCCTCTTTTCCACTGTCTTTGAGGGTTCCAAGTGAAAACGCTTTTTGGCGAGATAGTTTTCTATGGGATGGGGTTGACAACCCCAAGTCCAATCCTCCTCCTTTATCCGGGCTTGGGACAGGCAGTGGCCCCAGACGGGCTCCAGGTGGAGTTTCTGTTCTTAATAAGTCGTTATAATTATAACCAACTGATGCCTGAACCCAAACCTAAGCTTAAGTTTAACAACCATAACTCCCCTTCAATCTCTTTTAATAATCAATAGGCTCAAATTCCATTAATATCGTAGTGTTGATTTACTTTCTACCACCTCATGGCGATTTCCTCTCTGTATTCAAATGTAAAATGATATTTTCGTGTTGAAGCATGACACGCTATGTCATTTGAATGAACAGTAAATTATGATCGGTGAAAAACTAGGTGGTGGCTCAACTCATATATGATCTGAGTGAAAGTGTAAATTTTTAAAATTACTTTACACAATAAATATTCAAATTCAGCTACCACGGAATTAGGCGCTGATCACAACAATTAAAAATCCATATGCCTTCAAAAAAATGGTTATTGACGACAACATATTTCCTCACAAACGAATTCACAAAGTTACCTGGGTTTCGCTGGATCACACAACAGAGAAACAAATCGATCGCATCTTCATCAATGAAACTTTCAGAAGGACCATGGAGAAAGAACAAGTACCAACAGACTGGAAAGAAGGACATCTCATCAGGATAAGAAAGAAAGGCGATCTCAGTAAACGTGAAAACTACAGAGGAATCACTCCATTTTCAATACCAGCACAAGACTTCAACAGAATGTTGTTGAACCGAATGAAAGATTCCGTAGACGTCCAACTTTGCGTTCAGCAGGCTTGATTCCGCAAAGATAGATCGTGTATCGACCAACTCGTCACATCACGGATCACTGCGGAACAATCAGTTTAATGGAACTCACCAATCTACATAACTTGCTTGACTACATGACAGCATTCGACATCATGAACATGATGACACTGTGGAGGCTTCTTCGACACCATGGCATACCTGATAAGATAGTTAATATCATACGGAACTCATGATTGGCTACACAGAAAAACCGTGTATGGAGGACAGCTCACAGATTCGTTAGAAGTGAAGACCGGTGACAGCCAAGATTGCTTACTCTCATTCTTTCTCTTCCTCTTGGTTGTCGACTGGATTATGAAGATATCATATCTCAGAGGAAGCACGGAATATGGTGGATAGCAAGGATGATCTGAACTTTGCAGGTGATCTAGCCCTTATATCCCACTTACACCAACAAATGCAGATGAAGATCACTAGTGTACCAGTAGTAGCCTCTCCGGCAGTAAGTTTTAGCATACACGGTGTTATATTTTCTCTATTTTCAGTTTCATATTTTAATTAGTATAACAATGATCTATTTCTGTCTGTGGCTTTTTAATCAAGACATAACATTATATGTATTAAATTAACATGAACTGTCCATTTCTATTGGTTGTTTGAATCTCCCTAATGAAGTTAAGGACTGTAATTGATCACAGTCTCTTTGTAGTATATGCATCCGATATGGACTGCCTGAATATTGTCTCTCCTAATAACATGAACTAGGTTTAGCAAGAAATGTAGCATGCGATTTCATGTATGCAACTTTTTCCTAGTTAATAATTAATGGGTGTACAAATCAATAATTTGTAAATGAATGCATTTTCGAATAGAGCGATTTTGTGTTGAAGAGAGAATAAATCTTTATTTGTACCAGTTATTTTACATCCAAATATAATCAGTAGAACGTTAATAATCAGATCAAGCAAGAATGCTAATTTTGAAACTTCCGTGATTTCAATAGAGATTAAGATTTTGTAAAGGTATTGAAAACATTAACTTACAGGAAAAAAAAGCCCTTGAAATAACTTTAATTTTTCTCACCTTTAGGACCACGTAAACCTTCCACCCCAACTTCACCAATTTCCCCTAAATGACCAAATCCATCATCACCGGGTAATCCTCTTTGACCTGGTTGGCCTGTATCGCCATCAATACCAGGTTCTCCTTGTGTCCCACCAATTCCTATGAAATAAAATAGTTATTATTAATTTTAGCACACAATAAGCATTTATTTCATTATCACTTATGATGAAGTGCACATAGAAATTTACAACGTTTACATTTAAGGAATTCAGAACATTATTAACTTACCATATCGACCTTTGACACCTATAGGACCTTGTGGACCAGGTTGGCAGATTTTACCCTGACTTCCTCTTATCCCTTTTATGCCTTCATCGCCTGGAATACCTTTTTCTCCTTGATCACCTGGTAAACCAGGTTCACCTTGACTTCCTTTGTCACCGGGGTGACCTGGTAGACCTTTTTCACCTTTTGGGAAGGACTCAGCTGGGCAAACGGCTTTCTTGAAAAAGAGAAATAGACAAACATATAAGCGAAACATATATTTAATCAGAAATTGAAGGAAAAATAGTTTACTTATCAGTTTAATAAAAACGGATTGAAAATAATGCTGATATCAATTATCAAATTCGTTCAAGAATAACATTTTCTCATCTTATGATGGATTCAACTGCAAAATCGTACACGGAGGACAGCTAACAGACTCTTTCGAGGTGAAGACCGGTGTGAGGCAAGGTTGCTTACTCTCACCCTTTCTCTTTCTCCTGGTCATCGACTGGATTATGAAGACGTCGAAATGTGGAGGGAAGCACGGTATCAACTGGACAGTTAGGACGCAGCTGGACGATCTGGACTTCGCAGATGACCTGGCTCTTCTATCGCACACTCAACAACAAATGCAAGAGAAGACGACCAGTGTAGCAGCAGTCTCTGCAGCAGTAGGTCTCAACATACATAAAGGAAAGAGCAAAATTCTCCGATGCAACACAACATGCACCAACCAAATCACTCTTGATGGAGATGCTTTCGAAGACGTTAACAACTTTACATATCTGGGCAGCATCATCGACAAACAAGGTGGATGCGATGCAGCAGATGTGAGGGCGCGGATAGGCAAAGCAAGGGCTGCATTTCTGCAGTTGAAAAATATCTCGAACTCCAAACAACTTTCAAATAAAACCAAAATCACGATTTTCAATACAAATGTCAAGACAGTTATACTGTATGGAGCGGAAACATGGAGAACTACGAAAGCCATCATCCAGAAGATACAAGTGTTTATTAACAGCTGTCTACGCAAAATACTTCGGATTCGTTGGCCAGACACTATCAGCAACAACGTACTTTTGGAGAAAACAAACCAGAATCGAGTGGAGGAGGAAATCAGGAAGATGTGGTGGAAGTGGATAGAACACACATTGCGGAAAGCACCTAACTGCGTCACAAGATAAGCCCTCACATGGAACCCTCAAGGCAAAAGGAAAAGAGGAAGGCCAAAGAACACACTACGCCGAGAAATAGAGAAAGATATGAGAGGAATGAACAAACATTGGACAGAACTGGAGAAGGAAGCCGATGACAGAGTTGGTTGGAGAAAACTGGTGAGCGGCCTATGCTCGATTGGGGGTAACAGGCGTAAGTAAAGTAAAAGTAAATAGCGTTCTGAATTCATTCCTTTTTCAACATCTATTGTAATAACTCACCTGGTCTAAAATGGACTGTACATCAGATTGATTTACTTTCTTAACAATGTTCTTGGGTGTACTTGTAACTAACTGCTTTATTATATAAGTCCGAATGAAGCACCTCAAAATTGGAATCTGAATTATTTATTTAAGCCGGTTAATCTTATGGAAGCAACTTGAATATTGTGTTTTATTACTTTTGGATATTTTGTCAAAATTTTACACTTTGTAACTTATGGAAAAAAATGATATTTATTGTCAGTAATCCTTATTAGTGTTAAGGGTGGAAATAATTCGTAAACTGTTTATTTTATCATGCCTATTGATATCTTTTGAAGTTCACTTCCCTAATGATTTGGATATAATTGGGTTATGAAAAAATATTCATGCAACAAATTTTATTTGGCATATGCGTTAATATTATTCATTTTATAAATGGATTAAGTAGTAATCCATTATAAGATATTTGATGGTTTGTTTGTTGTATGTACGTACTAATATGTCAAGCCTTATTGGTTTGTCCTAGGTTTTGGACAAATGATTTAGTTCATTCTATTCAAATTATTATTTTATTCACGTGTTTTCCGATCTTGTCAATTATGATTAGCTTATAAACCTTGATTGTTTCGATTTGATACGTTGTATGTGCATTGCTTTTGATTTTGCCTATCATATTGTGGTGTGAGCTACTTATAAGTAGTATATGACACGAGTGTCAACGTATATGTCTGGCAGCAGAAGATGAGGGAAGATCAAGAAATGAAAAGTTAGAACACAATGGAATTTGTATGAAACACATGAATAGTGACAATGGATTGATGTTTTGCAACAGGAAAAACAGTCCAGTTCGATATGATAAACTGATATTTTGCAAATGAACGATTTACGATATGGTTTTCCGATTTTACTGAGTAACTCTGTAACTTTCGTTAAATACAATTGGGTTGCCCCATCTGTGTTCTCCTTCACTACAATATGTCCAGCTTACTTTTGTCTGATTATAAATACTTAGTTGCCTTATCCATTGTGTTCGCCCACTTACTGTCACTTCGATTTTACGGTATCTTTATAGTCTGTCTACTTAAAAAATAATGCATGGAACAAATACATCCGCAAAACCGTACCAACGTCGCACATACGGGCTTCACCTAAGAACGAATGATATACGGAAATCGATAGGAAGATTTATTTTACAACATACTCAATCGTTCGTAATAACTGGAGTCAGATCTTGGTTCATTCAAAGTTAAGAAAACGATACGTTTTATATTAAGGATTAATTGTTATTTTGATGGATGCATGTTAATAAGTGCTCATTTTTCATTCAGTTTTAAACCATGCTAAATTTAGGTAGTTTTTTATTAGCTTATCATAATGTCCAGAATGATTTTTTAAAATCATTATTACATTCAGACATGTAACTACTTGATATTCCTATGAGACATTAAGATCGCTAGATACCGGCTCAGTGGTCCGATGGTTAGGCGTTCGCCTACAATACCGAAGGTCCCAGGTTCGAATCCTGCGGGGTGCAGGAGTCGTGGATGCGCACTGCCACTGATGATTCCCATACCAGGACGAAAGGGCCGTCCAGTGCTTCAAGGTTTCTAATGGTGGTCTAACATTGATCAATTCATGGTTTCAAAAATGTATTCCTATAATGTTAATTTTTTTTTTGTGAAATGATTTTTCTAAATTAAAGCATTTGACTAGATATTTATCACCTTCTTCCCCTTTACCTCTTTCCTTTCTGAATAGTCAAATTAACATGATTATTTGGCCAATTATTATTGAATACATTGATGAGTCATTATTAAGTAAGAGAGAGCTCTAAGAACTTTCAAATAATCCAATTCGTCAAAAATTAAAATTATTTAAGTGGTTTATTTTTCCGTAGGTAAGAGAAGATAAATGCAAGGGTAGAAATACTAGTCAACTCATTCTCTACTTAAATGTGAGAAAGTATTGTATGGACAGGAAGAATGAGGAACTATTGGTTGTTCTAGTTCAACTGTTCAATTGTCTCATTCGGTATAAAAAAAAAATTAAATACGATTTTATGGTTTAATTACAGCCTGAACAATGGATTGATTTACTACTACTACTAATAATAAGCACAGTATCAACAACTAGAAGGATTGCATACTCGGCGAGGTAACAACTACATTTTGTTACATTCCAAAGGATTAAATACATTATCTCATTTTTAATCAAGAGAACTTGAATGGTGGTTACTTTTAAATGATTTTTAATGAGAACTTCATGTTTACATCATGATCATAAATGATATTTATAATGTATTTGTTAGAGAAAAGATTATTCATGCGCTTCTAAACCCTAATGGCCATGATCAGAATAGGAGGTAAGTTGGACATATCTTACTTAGTGTATTTTAATAAGGCCTCACAAGCATCACAATGACTGTCATATATATATATATATATATATATATATATATATATATATAATAACTTTTCTCACGTTTAGGGTCACGAAATGTACATTATTTATATACAGTTGTCAAGATTTCAAACGCACTGATCACCCACTACTCAGAAAATACAATTCTAGGTGTGACATTTTTGTTTACTACGAAACAAATTCCCATGATGCAAAAATTTTACCAACTAATTTCAATTGTTTTCACAAACAGGATTGATCTTACTTTTGCAATCATTAATTTTGTTTAATTGTAAAGTTGTAAGTGAATATAAGCAATGTGCAAATAAAAAGTCAGAAATATTTACAATCAAATAATTTGAAATCATTGAAATCAATCATTGTTAGACCACCATTAGATACCTGGAAGCACTGAAACACGGCTGTTTCGTCCTGGCACGGGACTCATCAGTGGCAGTGCGCACTAGTTTCGTGAGGAAATTCTCGGAGTTCTGGTGAGATGTGAACAGTGGAGTTCAACCCTGTCGGGTGTAGGCAGTAACTACCAAAGATAAATGGGTGAGGTCACGCAAAATACCTAGATTAATCAGAGTTAGACATCAACACCGTTGGACGCCGGTTCATTGGTACAAAGGTTAGGCGCGTTCACGCACAATACCTAAGGTCCCATGTTAGAATCCTGTGAGGTGCAGGAGTCGTGGATGTGCACTGCTGATGAGTAGTCCCATACCAGGACGAAAAGGCCTTTCAGTACTTCCAGGTTTCTAATAGTGGTCTAACAATGATTGGTTGATGATTTCAAATCTGTAAAAACACTAATCTCCTTAACTCTAATTGAAAATGAAATAATTATCATGAATAATCAGTCACTAATGATCATTTTATTGAAATTCACGAATAGTTTTATAACAATTAATTTCTTTGATATAAAATCCAAGGTTATTTTATTTTTTTTTAAAGATATTTTAATGTGTACTATCAATGCAGACGAATAAATGCACTGTTAGTATTCAGAGGACAGAAACTTAGCACACTTTCAACTATGACTAATTGCAGTCCTAATTTTTTGACAGACATCAACTGTATACAATATGTGATAAACATACAAGTAATCATTTAAAAAGACGAAATGATTAAAACCGAAAGGTTACTTACGTTCATAAATAAAAAATTTTCATATTTCATGTTTAAACTACACTAGTTTCTCAGTTATGGCTGACCACATCATTTTAGATAACGACTCAAATCATGTGCTCTGTAGTTTGTGTACGAAAATGAATTGTCGTGAGGAGACGAAGCAGTTTTAATTAAACATTATTCATATGCACAAAATTAAATGCTTCATTTTCAAATAACGATGGTTCCCTAAACTGTCTCCAAACAAGACAAATCCTCACAAATTAGCCATTGTGACAACTTTTAATAATTATGATTTTAACATCTGTCAAGTCAGACAGACAGACAAAATACAACAAAGAACTTCGTACGTACATACGTAAATCAGTTTAGGTTGCCATACCGCATTAGCACAGAGACGCAGTTGTCAGTTCAAATCCAGGAGTGATAGCGATAGTAGAAGATTAAGGTTCGAAGATATGATTCGAGAAGTAAAACTCAGTGAAATAAACTCAAAAAAAAGAGAAAGACAGAGATGATGAGGAATTGAGAAGATTAGAATTTGGGGGAACACAAAGAGTGGATGCACCTGCGCTATTGCAAACAATTTTGGGTCATATCGTTCAAGGTCTCTAACGATTGGTGACATACGTCTTGCCGACCCCAATCAGGTAGCCTACACCTGCCAACATGACTCAGTCCACTCACTTGTTAATGATTTCATGGATTGCTGTCATGTTTTGGTTTGGCCGCCCTTAACATCTGTCAAGTAGATAATTATTTTCATTAGTCGATTATTAAATGGTTTCCTTTCAACAGTTTTGTCGACAATTCATGACAGAACATCATTTCAAATTATTTATTTACTGATCATCATTCTATTTTACTATAAACTATAAACCATCATCGACAATCAAGGTGGATGTGAGGGCGCGGATAGGCAAAGCAAGGGCTGAATTGCTACAGTTGAAAAATATCTGCAACTTCAGACAACTTTCAACCAAAACCAAAATCACGATTTTCAATACAAATGTCAAGACAGTTCTACTGTATGGAGCGGAAACTCGGAGAACTACGAAAGCCATCATCCAGAAGATACGAGTGTTTATTAACAGTTGTCTACGCAAAATACTTCGGATTCGTTGGCCAGACACCATTAGCAACAACGAACTGTGGGAGAAAACAAACCAGATTCGAGTGGAGGCGGAAATGAGGAAGGTACGGTGGAAGTGGATGGGACACACATTGCGGAAAGCACCTAACTGCATCACAAGACAAGCCCTCACATGGAACTCTCAAGGCAAAAGGAAAATAGTAAGGCCGAGAAATAGAGAAAGATATGAGGAGATTTAACGAAAATTGGACAGAACTGGAGAGGGAAGCCTTGGGGACAGAGTTGGTTGGAGAAAACTGGTTACTGGCCTATGCTCCATTGGGGGTAACAGGCGTAAGTAAGTAAGTAAGTAACAATTGTATAGCTTAGGTAAATGAAATCGTCAAAAAGATTTAATTTGCTGAATTATCTCTATTTTTCTTTATTCAAACAACGAATCTCTTTTTTAGTCACTAAATATTTGATACAATAACCATTGTAATGTATCCATACATTATTTAATTTAACCAATATATTCAAAGAAGCAACTTACTAGAGAAATTGTTTTTTTTAAACATTACTTACCTCTAATTTTAAATAAAAATAATTCTTCTAATTGTAGATTAATTTTATAAATAATATATTCAAATTTATTTTATTACCAACGATATAATGAGAGTATAAAACTAATTATAGTTATATATATCATTTTCATTTATTAATATATTAGAAATATAATAAATGGAATAGAAAAAACTTGATCTCAGAACACAACATACCCCAGGAATTCCAGCCTGACCTGGATCACCTTGTAAACCATCACGACCATGTGGACCTCGATCACCTTTTTCTCCAATTGCACCTTCTGGTCCAGGTGGACCATCAGAACCTAAATTACCCTTTTTTTGTAATTTGTATAAAGAAGATAAACCAAATTTCCAATTATCACCACACACACACACACACACAAAAAAACGAGAAATAGATTTCAACAAATCATTAGGATAATAAATGACGATATTGATTGACACAGCAGATTTGCATTTAGTTTGAACTCTTATCTATTTCACTTTAACTATCTATGTCTATTACTTTAATGTGATATTTTATAAATGACATAAATCTGTCATATGCACATAATGTTCACTCCTTTTGTCGACATTGTCATGTGTCAGTTAATTTTTGTTTATTTACCAAATGTAATGCAAAAGTTATTGATGATGCTGATATTATTATTATCAGTATTTACTCTTTAACTTTGTTTACATAAATTAAACAAGAACTTAAAGATGATTTTTTTACTGGAAAAGTAAACAAGATGAAGAGAAAAAAGAAATCAAGATAAGATTTGAAATCCGATTCCAATTTATTAAACCTAATGATCATTGGTGTTATTACATTTGTTATTATCTAGTTTTATCATGAAAATATAAATAGATAGATAGATAAAGAAGGAATGAATGACATAAGCTGTATCATAAAGACATGTAAAAATATCCTCTAATGTAAAATGTTACATTAAATGATTTTGTTTTTCTCAGTGAAAATCATTATTCTCAGCTACAAATCTTCATTATTTTTAAGTAAATAATACTTACATTACGGGGTTGTGAAGATTGTTAAGTTACACATTTTTTTTGAAACCATGAATCGATCAATGTTAGATCACCATTAGAAACCTGCGAAGCACTGAAACACGGCCGTTTCGTCCTGGTATGGGACTCATCATCAGCAGTGCGCATCCAAGACTCCTGCACCCCACAGGATTCGAACTCAGGACCTTCGGTATTGTGCACGAACGCCCCAAACCGTTAGACCACTGAGCCGATATCCAACGGTCTCATACACAGTATTCGGTAGACACTGCCTACACCCGAACAGGTTGAACTTCACTGGTCACATCTTTCCACTAGAACTCGGAGAAGATTCCTCACGAAGCTAGTCACTAGTGAGCACAGGTAATTTGCATGACGAGGTTGTGAAGATTGTTAAGTTACACATTTTTGAAACCATGATGCGCACTGATGAGGAGTCCCATACCAGGACGAAACGGCCGTATTTCAGTTCTTCCAGGTTTCTAATGGTGGTCTAACATTGATCGATTCATGGTTTCAAAAATGTGTAAACAATACTTATGCACAAGGGATAGATAGTATAAAGAACGTACAAAGAATAATTGTGATCAGTTTATCTAAAGTTCAAATGAAATGTGAAATAACTTGAGATGAGGCAAAACACATCGTAGCAACTACAAAATAATAATCCGAAGCATTAAAAAAAACATTAGTGCAAATATTATGTAAGAATCAAATCGGTTAATGTTATGCATTATATATATACTACAAAGAGATCTAAAATTAATTGAAGTCGACATACGTTTAAGAAAAACAAAACAACTAACTTGACTAGAAAATTTGAGTTTCCTGCCAGTCTTAATTATTAAGTTTTGTGCAAAACAATTTTAGTACAAAGTAAATGCTTTCAATTCACACAGTGGTCGCTTAAAGCATACAATTTTTGTCCATTAATTTTGTAGATTCTCCCAATCTGATTACAACTTAAAATCATAGTATTGATCATCAAAATGAAGTAAGTGTACATACTTTAAATCGTAAACAATCAGGATAAAATGAGTTAATATTGTAGAGATGAAAAATAAAAACTGTTCAAACGTTTGTGTTTAGATAAAACATGTACACATGGTTCGTCTTAATGATTAATCCTATAGTTTTAGGTTATAGGGAGCTGAGAAGAATCTACAATGGTTAAAGTTGCTGAGAAAGTGAGAATATTAATGAAACTAGTTAAATGTTAGTTATTTTCATCACTAATTGTAGTTATGTCATAACTAACCAATCAAATTGTGGTTTAAACGTCCATCACGTGATCTGATCTGACGTGTCTGTAAACTAACATTGTTGTAAATGACCTACAAATTGATTGACATTATTATCTTATTATATTGATGTGACTCATAACTTTATTCATTTCCATAAGACACGCTATATTGGTCGGTATGTTTACTGGGTTCACTTGATAACTGTAATTTCCTTATTTATTGTACTAATTTATGTTTAGAAACATATAAAGTTTAAAGCAAAAGTTGATCTTGTTCTGCTGACTATAGCTTTCCCATAGACTCTGTGCTCGCCAATATTGCGTTTACCATTCTAGAAGTACATCTGTAGGACAAATTAAATCCTACATTAAACTCGAAGATTATTTGCATTATCAACTAACATTGGTTGAAGATCCATTCAAAGCCAATCAGTCACTCGTGAACACGTAATCGTTCTCATTGGACTGTTCTATATTACTATTTAATTGTAGTCAATGTGAAGTAATCTAGTACATAAAACAGTTAGTCTATTTACTTCTAAATAAATAAAGTTGTAAAAAAAGAGTGATTGAACTAATTAAATAGAATTCTCTATTTTCTTCCTTTACATTGTGAAGCAATAAAATTTAAAACTTATATTGTCTTTCTTAGGAAGTTGAATGACTGAAATTATTTACTATGGAATATTGTAGATAACTTTTTTGTTATTGATAAGTAATTGCACCACTTACTGGTTGTCCAATCGGTCCTGCATCACCATCTTCACCAGGATCACCCTTGTAGTATAACAAAAAATGTATTTAACAATGAGAATTACTATGATATTATTTGATCTCATGTTTATCAATAAAACAAAAAAGAAAAAGGTTTTTTGGAATCATATCTTCGATTCATGGTTTCAAAAATGTGTAACTTAACAATCTTCACAACCCCATAATGCAAATTACCTGTGCTCACTAGTGACTAGCTTCGTGAGGAATCTTCTCCGAGTTCTAGTGGGAAGACGTGACCAGTGAAGTTCAACCTGTTCGGGTGTAGGCAGTGTCTACCGAAGACTGTGTATGAGGTTGCGCAACTCCGTGAATCTGATCAAGTTAGACATTAACACTGTTGGATACCAGCTCAGTGGTCGTGGATGCTCACTGTTGATTAGTTCCATACAAGGAAGAAACGGCAGTCGTCCAGTGCTCCCAGATTTCTAATGGTGGTCTAACATTGATCGATTCATGGTTTCAAAAATGGGTAATCATATTTTCATCAACTATTTCCTTTAAGATTGAACGATGTCATTGTTTTTAATTTTCAGTATGAAACTAAGTCTTGTTATTGAATTACACAATATCCCTGTCGAATGGTGTGAGATTACATTGTATAGTACTTAATTATTCCTCTGTTATATTTAAGTTGTAATTCTAAATATCATGCATTTATGAAGCTTCGATTGATTGTAGTACATATGTAATCAAAGAACAGCTTCATTTCTTAAGTCCACTTTCTCTCAATAAAACATTTCTATCGAATGATTTATGATTAAATTTTCCCAAGATTGTGGATTTTTCTTCACAGCCATAAAGTAAGACGGAGCGAACCACTGCACAGTACACTCGTCCTTTAGTCAGCAAACGGATATCTCGCCTTCGCCATAAGTGACGCAGGTTGGCAAAAGGCAATCGAGCCTTCTGTATCCAAGCTGAGGGCTCGATTACGCAATTAATGACAAATGACTTACTGTCAACATGGTTGATATTTTCCTAACTTATCAAATAATTAATTATAATCAAGTAACAAATATCGATATTTTTTGTCAACGGTTATTATCTTGAATGAATAAATAACTCTACATACAAACTTACATCTATTCCTAATTCACCAGCTTCACCTTTTTCACCAATCAATCCTTGTTCACCTGGTAAACCCTATTTTATTATAAAAATTAAAATTTCAAATATTATAAATTATGCAATAGAAATATCAATCAATCAATCAATAAATCAATAAATTAATTGGAAATAGTCATCAGTTGTCATATTACATTTTTACTCATTAAAATGATATGATTTATTTAACAAAATTCTAAAATAACCCTACAAGGATAATAGTGGTTGAATTGTCAATTTGATTCATTAAATAAACAATCTTAGAATATGGAAGAAATAACTAGTTGACAATAAACAAATGAGTAAAAATAACTATGTGATCATGAAAAATTTCAAGCTATTAATTATATCCAGGTAATTTAATCGAAAGTAGAATGATTACACTTTATTCGTTGATCATTCGTAAACATAGAGACGATTATGAGTATTTTTACATTTGAAATCATCAATCAATCATCATTGTAAGACCACCATTAGAAACCTGGAAGCACTGAAACACGGCCGTTTCATCCTGGTATGGGACTTATCAGCAGTGCGCATCCACGGCGTTCGGGTACAATACCGAAGGTCCCGGGTTCGGATCCTGCGAGGTGCAGGAGTCATGGATGTGCACTGCTGATAAGTCCCATACCAGGATGAAAGGGCCGTCCAGTGCCTCCAGGTTTCTAATGGTAGTCTAACAATGATTGATTGATGATTTCAAATGTGTAAAAACACAAACCTCCAAAGCTCTCTCTACCTGAAAATATGTGTATTCAGTTTAGATCATTCATTGATGTTAAAAATTTACTATTCCTTAAAAATTACTAAAAAGTAAACTATTTTCATCATTTTTCTCTCTTAATAATAATGAGAGTTCATGGCTGGTAGTTTTTAAAAGATATGTATAGATTTCGGTTGTGGTGGTGTTTCGTTCTCTGAGCTGAATGTTTTGATTATGGAACTTACATCGTTCTTCTGAACAACACCAACACCATCACACAAACTTCAAATAGAAGAAGTGAATCATTCGAATTTCTCCACCTTTGACCTGTGGCTTGTTATGTTAACCTCGATCTTGATTAGTTGCTGTTGACCTTAAACCTATTGTCGTTTGCACTTTTGTTTTGATTGTATTCCCCTTTTGATCTGTTTCTTGATCCTATGTCACCTATGATTTTTCTGATTGGTTGGTTAGTAGTTCCCTGCTCAATGTTACAATACTTATTGGATGATTTGCAATTCTTTTAATAAACCGAACTGACTATACTTTAACAGAACAAGGTATATTCGTTTCTAATGTTCATTGTTAGTGAGAGGCAGTGGTTGATAGAATACAACGGTATATATATATATATATATATATATATATTTGTTGTCACTGAGACTCTTTAATAGGTCATACCTCCTACTTGGTAACAGCAATCAATGATTTATTAGATAGACAGTTATTTTTGAAAAAAACCAATCTTATTTCATGCATACTTTGATCAGTTAAGATTTCCATCCTCTTTGAGCGTTATAATGAAATGTCATTAAGATAATATGCTTATTTAACAGTCAAAATATTAAGCTTCCCCTTGTTAAAAAAATCATAATATTTCATTATTTTTGAAGGGATTATGTATAAATGATTTGTAATATAATTATTTTAACAATATGATTTGCATTTTTTTGTTAGATGTACTAAATGTATGTATAGCGGCGATAGAATTAAAAGCGGTTCTCACTAGAAAAAAATGTATATCAATATTACGATTTTCCTTTTTAATGTTCATGCTTACACAGCACTGAGTTATTTGTTGAATATTTAAAGAAAATCTGAATTACAGCTCAAGTCTAGTTAAAGTAGATTTCGTTCAACAAGTTAATTATTTAAGAGTATATTGTTCACAGTAAACTTGTATAAAATTATAATTTTAACCAGTAGCCTAAATAATCATTATAATTATACTGATAATATTGTGGTGCGCGCTACTTATAAGTAGTATATGACGCGAGTGTAAACGTAGTCTGGCAGCAGAAGATGAGGGAAGATCAAGAAGAAAGGAAGAATGGGAACACAATGGAATTTGTATGAAACGCATGAATATTGAAATGTCAGACAATGGATTGAAGATTTGCAAATTAACCGTTTACGATATGGTTTTCCTATTTTACTGAGTAACTCTGTAATTTGCGATAAATACAATTCGGTCGCCCTCACCTGTGTTCTCCTTCACTACAATATTATAGACAAAGTCCTCAAGAATCTTTTGGGTAGAGTATACGGTAATGTATACTTGACCAAATTCATTTAAGCAATAAGATGCACTAGTCATTTAATGAGGTATATTCTCAGATTTATATGTGAAGAATTAGCATAGACAAACAAACGCGTTCATTGTCATAGCTTTAGTTCACATCACTATTTGTATTCCTGATTTAACAACTCATTGATTTTATTCTCTTTGTGCATTCAGATGATAGGAAATCTTATTCTCCCCTCTGATTAGGTACATATGTTGTAGCCAGACTATCTTATGCAGTTCTTTCTGATTGATCGGTCAAGTTTCCACATACTGAAGTGACAGTCAAAAACTACATACAAAACCAGCAATTTCGAAAATATTTTATTGCTAACTTTTTAAATTTGTGGCTCAAATAATTAATCCTTTTTAGGACTTTTTTATTTTTTTTTTAAAAGCAATTGTTTCTTTAAAGTGACAAACTCTTCAGTTCATATGGTATATTCTGTTTGACACTGTTATCGATCGGTATTAGTAACCGCAGTATTAAATATAGGAAGGTTATATTTATCGCCTGTTAGTGGGACATAGATGGAATTAAAGCATGACTACGTTGCTACGCGCTGATTAGCTAATTTCCTATCCAATCAGCGCCTGATCGATTCTTGGAGAACAGAGTAGAAGATTCTCGTATTGTTAGCTGCGTGCTGATTGGTTAAATCTAATCCAGTCGATCGAGTGAATTTCTATCCAGAGGCTTTTCATGTTAATACTATAAATAGACTAACGTTGTATCTATTTTTGGCCTTCGCCTTCGCCATCACCTTTGGCTTCTTATTTCCATTTAACCTTGCTATTTGGAATATAATCTTTTCCTGTTCAACCGTGTTTTTGATTCTTGGGAACTTGTCCAGTGTATTGTGGTCAGAGAATACTAAGCAATAGGATTTAGCTAGAAATTATATAGCAAACATTACAACAGTAGCGATACAACATCACCAAACAATCTTTGTCCGTTTTTTTCTCATTTTTTCGAAATGATTAAACTTCACATAATCAGTTCTTTATTATTTTATGAAAATACTGTGTAAATATGAACGATAAAATGAGTAAATCAGATATTTTATGCGAAATAATGTTTAAGGATAAGATTCTATTCAATAACTAAAATACTTGATTAAAATAAATCGTATTATAGATATATTCAATTCACATTATATTTTTCATATCAATATGGTAAAACGCGCTTACCAGATCACCCTCATCACCTGGCTCTCCGATGTCACCTTTAGGTCCTGGTGAACCCTACATGAAAATAAATGATAAAAATGATAGAGAAAATTTATATATACGTATACATATATATATATATATATATATATATATATATATATATATATATATACTGAGGAAGTGGTAGGAAGCTGTATGCCAAGCTTTTGGTCATATCTGGATTAAAAGCAAAACTAATACTCTTTTCAAATGCTGAGTTTGTTAATAACTGTATAGTAGTTATTCAACTATTCGATGTTAGCGATCATGTTATTCTGAATATTACTAATGTGATTCAAAGTGTATTAGTTCTGATCATAAAGATTTTTCGAGTGAAATGAATTTGAAATAATCATTTAGAAAATGTTACGAACTAACATAACAATATTTAATTTCTGTAATTAACTTATATCTTCCTGATAGTTCTTCATGCATTAGCAACTAATTAATTGTGATATTCTACATTTTTAACAAATGTATTACCGTATTCGATTACGCAAATTATTAATTATGAGCCAACAAATGTTGTATTTTAAAACAAAATTTTTGGTAGCGTTTGTATTAACTAACTGTTTATATATAGGGCCGAAATTTGATTAGTCTTTTTTGATGTATGTGCATCTCAAAAAAGCACGCTCTGACATGCTACATTTTACAACATTTTATTATGTCTAGACAATCCATTTAAAGATATGTATTTTGCCCCATTCGGGACTCATCAGCTGAATGTACCAGAATATCTGTTGTTGTTCAGGTCATTCAAATATTTATTAGATCAAGCTGATTATCGTATTTTTATTAATAAATAGTAATAACTGATCCCCATACGTTGAGTTTTCTAAAAGTGCTTTTTAACTTACAAATAAAACAATGTGATCTAACTTTCAAGTAATATTTATTGTAGGAGAATGAGGGAGAAATGGTACTCCAGAAACTAGTCATTATACTGTTATAAATTTATTACTCTGAGATCCTTTTGACTGACTTACTATATCTCCAGCTGGACCTCTTGTAAAACTGATAAGTTCTTCTTCAGTATATTCACGATCCATATCTTCACATGGTTGACCATCTTGTCCTCGAGGACCTGGTTCACCACGATCTCCAGGAATTATATTTGTATAATTGTACACTCCAATTTCACCTTTTGGACCGACATCACCCATCAAACCTACAGCTCCCTAAAATAAAATTTAAAAAATATATAAGCTGTTTTCGTCTCTATTTTTTGTCCATATTAAAAACTAGATGTGTAATGTTTTAATATTTGGGTACAAAACTTAGAAAGTGACATGTTGTATAACTAATAAATATGTATTCATAACGGTCGAAACATTCTACAGAATAGATATAAAAGACAGCTCCAGTCAAAGACTGATATCGTTTGAAAGCTGTGATCATGAGTGTTCACTAACGAGAAGGCACAAATGTAAATATAGCTATTACTACTTGGTTTCAATAGTTCTCAAGTACATATTAGGCAGTAAAAAAAAACCCATATTCAAACTACATCCGACTCAACAAATCATCACAGTCTAACTAAAATATTGTTAATAATGTTAATAAATACAACTGGTTGTATTCATTGTATGAATATAAATATTCGAAGGCACTAGTACTCCTCTACATATAAAATTTAAGCACTCCATACAAAACAAGAACTGATATTAGAAACATTTTATGCTGTTTTTCAAATCGTTAACACTACAATGTTTTAAGATAGTAAATATGAATTATGTAATTAACTTGCGTTCTGAACCGATGTTCACTGGCAAAAATCGACTTTAACTTATAACGATTCATCATAAAACCAATTAACTAAAATACAATGCAAAGAGTTTGAATTAAATAGTTTAGGAGTTTATTTAGACTTAACAAAGTATTTATTGTATATTACATAGACCAGCTCAGAGAACCAAACACCACCATCACAATCATCCACCTGAGCTACAAGTTTTCTCCACCATCTTACATAGACTTCGCCTGAAGGTAAGTAAATAACTCAATCACTGATTTATACAAATACATACACACTGTCACATAATAAATTATGTTTTTTTTTTGTTTCTATTTAGAAGCTTTTTTAGAAATAAATAATCTAAACAGT